CACCTGCAAATGAGACCATCCTGCCCTTCAAATCAACCTGTTTTAGTGCTTTTGTAGATGGAAAAATAAAGTCAAATGTCATGCTCTTTCCTCAAACCCAGACCCTCCAAACCCCAGGAGCAGACAGTAACTGTACTTCTGTATCTGAGAATTACTCAGCATGGCCCACATCTGCCTCAGATGGCAACAGCACTGGCTGGATTACCTCCCCACAAGCACAAGGGAGCTAGAGAATCAGACTCTCTTCAGCTGTGGAGGAAAATAACCACTACATCTGTGTGCACCCAGGAATGCAGAGCTCAAACAGTACTGAAGCAATGTGTGGCCTGGCTCCCCTGGACCTGGCAGTTAGAAGACAGAGACCTTTTAGGATCTGAATGCACACCTCAACCAACCAGACCTATTTTGGGCTTCTTCCTCCCCTTTTTAAGTGGCAGTTCTGTCTCTTCTGACTTCAGAGAGACCTTCAGGACTCCAGAAACCTTCAGCATTCCCTATCTGACAAATTGTCATCCACCTTACCTACTAAAAGTGGACAAGAAGAACAAAACATCTGTGCTCAAGAGGGCAGATGGATTTGTAAAGCTAGATGGGGCGGAGCAAGCTGAGAATTGTTTGTTGATGTGACAGAGAACTTGAGGGTGGGCTCAAGAGACAAAAAGGTGAGAGTGACCCCTGCACTCCCCAGTGTGTCCCTCATTCCTTCTGAGTCAGGTTTGTCATTCCTGTGAAATCCTCACTTGACCATCTCATTCTTCTTTAGTGATTTGACTGCTTAGCAAGCATCCCTGTGAGCAAACCTTAACCCTCCCTTTTGCAAGTAGCAGCCTGCTGTAGAAGGCAGCCACTTTACCAGGCAATAACACCTGGTGGAGAGAAAATTCCTGTAAGCAGATTCCTTGTGACTGAAGCAGCAACCTTGACTAGTCACTTCAGAGTCCCGTTACATCCATAATGATACTGTCTCCACCTTTCCCTTCCCCCCCAGCATGAAAGATGAGTGGTTGTGTGGAACGAGTCCCCGAGCTGTGATGGGAATCCGTCTCGCTTGGCTGCAAAAAATATATATATCCTGGTATGGCTGTGATGAATCCTTTCATTATTCATCTGCAATTGCCCTGCTACTGCTGCTGTTCCGTTCTCACTCTCTCTCTTTCTTTTATAAATAAAAATGGAAACAGATTAATGACAAATGTTGACAGAGATTGCTTTTAAACAGCCACACCTGAATGTGGTCTATGGGGGAGGAGCAGTGGCAGAGCAGCATCAGAGGGATGGGGAGACCAGGAAAGATTAAGTGAGAGATGGGAAAAGATAAAGATGCTCACTCCAACTGGGCTAGATGAGCAGTGACTGGAGCAAGGTATCTTTCTGGTGATGAGGACCTCAATTTACTCTAATAAACGAGCTTTGTATTAACAGAGATGTGTATCCAAAATATTTGAAATAACTAGCAGTAGTCAGTTGTGCTGTCAAAGATACTCTGGAGTGAAGTTTGCAGAGACTCCGGCAAAATATTCACAGGATGAAATGGCAACAGACAGAGGTGCAGTGACACACAGCAGTCCCCAGTGTTGAATAAATAGTACCTGATACTGCTGCTCATCCCACTCCACTCCTGGTGACCACTGAACATCAAGGCTCTAGTTTGTGCAGCTGCCAAAGCCACCTATATTTTGGGAATGTGATCAGATGGGCAAAGACAGTCTGTGACCAGTTGGGCCACAGGTTGACACAGTGAGCAAGTGCATCCAACGGAGGCAAACCTGACCTCATGACACTCTTCCCTGCACATTCCCACTGCATGAAGAAACACGACAAGCCTTTTACTCAAGTAGCACTTCAAGAAGCTGCATTATTTATTCCTACTTAATGCTTCATCCCCCTTATTGAAGAAACGACAGGAGCAGAAGAGTGGCAGAGGTGGTATCCAGTTGTTAGAGAAAGAAAAACCAAGTCACTTTGGGTTTAATTCTGATCTTAAAATAACCCCTTCCAGCCATTCTGAGCAGATGGGCTGCAGGAGATAAAGAGCTCTTGAAGTGCTGCCCTCTCATAACCAAACCATATCTGTCCCTTGTATACCCTGGTACATTTGCTCCTGAGCCAAACTTCAAGTTCTCATCACACAAACAAGTGAAAGACCTGACCTCCAGAAGGCCAACTCAGACTGCTTGGTGTGCCACACACTGCTGCAGCGCTGCAGAGAGGGGCATGGAGCTGCAGCCATTGCACTTGCCTTAGTATTTAGCCCAGATGTGGCATCTCAGACCTTCTAGGTACTGTGTAAACCCTGCACATTGGAGTAAGTCTCCTCTCTCCCATGTAAGGACAGATGCCACTCTCGTTCTTCACGCCTACTGATGCCCTTTAAATCAGCTGGGAGTCCAGAGATTAAATTCATTTTTTGTATCTGCTTTTAATCTCTTCCTCCTCCTCCACAGGCAGCTTGAGCTCTGTTATCACTTCTCTACCCCTACTGTGATCTCCAGCGACTCCTGTGGTCTCCTCCTCTAGGTTCCATGCTTCCTACCTCAAGCACCACCTATCCACCTGAAGATAGGCTCTCTCACCTTCCTGCTATCAGTTACACCTCCTAACTAGTTCCTCATTCCCATCAGTGTTTGGCATCACATTTGAGAGGAGAGGTGCATGGACTCATTGCTGCTTGCTTCTTGCCAGCCTCCCACTTAACTAAACTCATTTTCATCCTTCCCTCAGAACCGCTCCTGCTCTTTTGGTGCCAAGCCACCCCTCCTATCCTCCTCAAAGCACACTGCTCCTTGGACTCTTTTCAACAGCAGCTAATGCAAGACATTACAGCACAGAATCCTGCGCCAACATCCAGTGCATAAACAAAGACCAGATACATGAAAGGAGAGAACACACTGTCAGCATTTAGTAACAAACACTAATTGCAAACAGGGGATGGAGTTCTCCATCCCTGTTCTTTCAGCAGCCAAAAGCCATCTGAGCCAGGAGATGTGGCCATTCACAAACCAGGACCCATTAATCACTGAACAGCCCCCCGCTCAGTATCTGACTGACAGCCACCAGCCTGCTCCGTGTCTGACTGATCCACTGAATGGACAGACAGCCTCTTGGAGTTTTATTTGTACCTCACTAGTGCAGGGACACTGAAATAGAAGGCCTTTTGGGAGGCAATTTCAAAACCTTTTCAGGCCTGCCACAGATTTGCTCTATAACCCTTGCAAAGTTTTGACTTCTCTTTGCGCCTCTTGTTTTCCTGAGAAAATTGCCTTGCATCCCATCCCAGAAGGCTGTGGAACATGCTGTTTGCAGGCCTCAACATTTCAGTATTTCTATTGAAAGCTGCTGCAAAAGACAGATAGCTTTTTAAATAACATTCTCATTCACCAGAAAGGCTGGTTCTCATCACATGCAACATGGTGCAGAGATACTAAGTATTTTCTATCATTCTGACCCCTCATTTATTACTCCATATAAACAAATCAGCCCCCTAAAGAGAAGAGATCCATGTGAGAGACACTTTGGGTTCTCTAGAACAGGCAAGTCCCCTCCAGCCATAATCCCCTTTTAGGAAGCATCTATGGTTATGTTACATGAAACATCCCTTCGCACCTCAGCTAAAGATGGTGTCAAAACCCCTAAGGAGCACCTGGGAGACAAGGAGCACACAGTTCTTGGAGAGGCAGCTCCACATGATTTTACAGCCCCCCCCCAAAGCAGCACTTGCAGCCTTGGACTGTGTGAAGTTCCTACAAGTTGCTGAAACCCTGGAGAACATGGGATGGTGGGCACAGGCCTGTGATTGAGCCAAAGTTAAAACATTGGTGCTGCCAGTTGTGTGTCTCCCTCATTCCAAACCATTATGCCCCAGAACTTTCTCCCAGCCCACCCATCTCCCCAACCCCATCCTGTCCTCATGTCTTGAGCTGTTTTTGGCACTCCTCACACACATGAACTGAGCCAAATCAAATGATTAAAACAGCAGAAATCATGTAATTTTTTGCAGTTAAGGGGGTTGACATGACTCAAAGGGGCCCAAGGAGTGAAAGGTAAGCAGCAGGAGCTTAGAGCCAGGCATGGGGAATCAATGGGGTAGAGATGGAAGGAGAAGGCTTCCCTTTTCAGCAGAGATGAACTGTTTACCTCACCTCATGGCATTGCATCCCGTATTTCCAAAAAAGAAAATAACAACCCTAAAATTTCAGTTAACTGCAAAGACTTCATAGACTTCTTCAGGATGTATTTGGATAAAAAAGTAGTAGAGAAATGAAAGGTCAACACCCTTCCAAATTTCTACATGCTATAGGGTTTCAGCTCCCACAGACACTCAAGGTGATGTTGGAAACCATTTGATTGCATTGCAGCTGAACTTACTGCCCCGGTCTATCTAGCTGCAGCTGGATGCAGCTATATGCATCCTACATGCTGCTCTAGTCCTCATTGTATTTCTCAGTTGATTTTAACCTACACAGCCCTTCAGGATTCAGTCTCCATTCCCCCAGTATCCACTCATCTCCTCAGGCTCTGGGGCCAGAAGTTGCATAGTTACTTAGGACAGCCTCATGAGAGTGTTGGCAGCTGCCCTGCCTTGGAAACTTTATTAGCTTTGATGTTGTTTGTTGTTTTCCAACTGCACACTCTGCATTAACCCACATAAAGTTTTAGCCCTCCCATCACTGAGCAGATTTGAACTCTGTGGAAAGACAGATCTGGAGTCTATTGACCTTCACACCCCATCGCAAAGTCCACCTTTTATTCAAGCTTATGTTTAATGAGATGACATGAAGTGCCTAAGTAATGGGGTATAGTATTCATATGGATATAAACTGCCCAAGAAAAGGCCTAGTCCAGCTTGTCTCTTTTTCCTCGTTTATCCTGCCCCTTGTGTCTCACAGCTTTGCCCCTTTGCCCTTGTTCTGACTCTCTCCTGATCCTCCCATCAGGTGACAATTTGAATTTTAAAGCCATTTACACTCCAAAAGGTGCATAATCAGATTTTTATCCTGTACTTTTCTGATGTGACTTTTTTATTATGACATCAAGTACTGACCCATAATAAGGATGTAAATGCCCACTTTAATGTCTATTACCAGTATCTGCAGGTGCATATAAAATTATAGTATCATCACATAACTATGTATTAACCTCTTGAGCTCCATGACAGACTAACTCTCCAGGGAACACTGTATTCCAATTCTCAATTACCAGCAGTAGTTCAGTGACAAGCAGTAGAAGTTGTACTCATCCATACCCTAAACACTTGAGGTACTTGCAGAATGGTAGAGACTAGTCACATTCTGAATACACCAGCTCTGGTGCTTCCAGTTGCCAGCTATTTGTGACAAGCATTTGGGTCTTTTCCAGGAACAAATACACAGTTACATTTAAGTAGACATACAGGTGGGATGTAGCTTACCTGAAAAAAATTTGTGGTTTTCAGCAAAGTTGCTTTTGAGTCACATGGTAGAGCACAATCATGACTTTATCCACCGCAATTAGCAGAGAGAAGATAAGGTGTACAGCAACATAGCACATCATCTTTTATGCTTCTGTTAAGCAAACAATGCACTTTGCTCAGAAAATGCCCATTTAGCACAGGTGTAAAGGTGCAATGTGTGAGCAAGGAATGATGTGGTCCACAATACTTTATTGCAGGGAGGATACCACAACTGCAGCTACCTACCCAATCTCAAGAGGGTATTTGTAGAAATTCAAACATTTTGACTTTCATCTTTTAGGTTAATGGCATCTGTTTACATCAGAAATTGAGTATTCAGCTGTGAACAGAGCCTGCCAACCCACATCTGACACAAGAATCCTACAAAAGCTCGGAGAGTGAGTTTATGGGGTTTGGGTTTTTTTGTTGTCGTTTTTTTTTTTTTCTTTTTTTTTAAAGATGCACTAATTTCTCTAGAAGATCTAGAGAAATTAAAAGATCTAGACCCGAGAGTCAATAGAGAGAACAGAAAAAAACATGATAATAAAGACAAAAGTTAGTACCATTTTTACTTCATACCTTTCCCCTTCTTTCTGATACAACTCAGTCAGATGATTGATTCTGATTCCAAAGAGGGTCTCTGACCTGAGGTTATTCTTCCCAAAATATACGCTAAGATTTCTGATATTTTAAAACTCTGCTGAATTGGGCATTAACAGGCAGCCTATCATTTGTTAAATAACAGCCAGGTTTTCTGCACTGGACAGTCACTGGAGTTTGGGGAAAAGAATCAGAGGACAACACTTGAAATATCACTGAAAGACATGAGTCAATAGTCATATTGTCCTATAATGTTCAGGTAAAAGTATATAAAGTGTAATGGCTCAAGAACAAGTTTTCACCTACTTATTGCTCTTTCTCATGTTGTAGTAGACAAGCTATTTCACAGCAGATCCTCTGTGATACTATACATTTGGGCTGCTCTTCCACTGTTAAATCCTTTGAAGTCCAGGAATCATAGTTATTTCCAGAGACAAAGCATATTTTGGGAAGCTAAAATACCCTATAAGAAAACCCTGATACAAAGTAAATACATACCAAAAATTCCTAGCTCAAAAATAATTAAAATCTATCTATCTATATACACAGACATATCTGGTTACAGATAAAAATACTCAAATGTGAAGAAATGAACTGCCATCCTAATTCATCACTCTGTACATACACATTACAATAATGCCAAATCAAGGGATCACACAGTTTATTTTCTAAGATTCTAGCTTCATACAAAGGACAGAACACACACCTCAGGAGAGGTGACGCCAAGAACTGAAGGAGATTGGATCTGATTCATTTGCTACTAAAGACAGAAGGGACAAAGCAGGAAAACTGTCAAGGCAAAGTTCTTGGAATGAAAGCAACTGACCACCAGTCCTGGAGAGGTGTCTCCCTGCTGCCAACCCTCCGATCACTGAGAAGCCAGAGAGAGACTTCAGCAATGAGGACAGTGCTCCTCACCTCATCAGTTACTGTGACTGGATTTGTTGAAGCTCTGAGCACTCATAGCTGCTATGGAACTTTGTAGGAAATGAGATTTGAATCTACAAAAGGCTACAAAGTAAGCCACTCCAAATTGCTAGTGGCTGGGTATCTCATCTTGGGCCCCTCAAATTCAGAGAGAACTCACGGTTTTTGCTTCAGTCATTCTGACGAAAACTCCCCACCTACAAAATAAGGGTGACATTAACATCCAAATTCTCAGCACATAAATAAAGTCATTAACATTCTAAGCTGCCATAGCAGGAGGTACCCTGAAGTCACTAACAAGGAAATAACTTCTTCCTTATTAAGAGTGGAGTCTGGATGCTGTGCAGTAAATAAAGTTTGAAGTCAGTTTAAATGAGGAAAAAAACCCACCAAACCAGAGCAGCTGTACATTCAGAGAGTCTTAACCCTCCTACACCGACCGAGGCAGGAAGTTAGTGTGAAAGGGGAGGGAGGAACAGGACAGGACACAAAACCCTCAAACCCAACAACAAATCATGCAACTCCTTGACTGCATTGTACTGTGCATGCAGAAGGGCACTGATTTCAGCTAGGTAGGCCACTTAAATTGTAGCCTTGTTTGTCATGGGAGCACAGATTTTCCCATTTGTTTCCTTTTTTATTGGTAGGGAGGGTGGGGAGTAATGGGGGTGTTAAAGAAGGTACTTGTTTAAATGTCTAAATAAATATATAAACACAGGAAATCTGTGGTCTGGAACTGGGGGTTAGGAGGGTGGGAAATGCCACCTGCCCTGGGGTAGCCCTGCACTGATTGAGTGCATGGAAATGGCCACACTTCATGGTCCCTCTCCCCTCCCCTGGGAATCAGACCCGTCGCTCCTCAGTCGCACTCCTGGCTGTCTCCACAGTACCTGAAAGGCCAGCAAGAGATAGAAGGCTCATGAAATCTCTTCTTGCTGCTCTTTTTGTATAGGCTTCTTTCATGATGACACTGGACAGCCAGGAAAGAAAACACAGGACTTCTTTCACTCATCATACAACACTCAGCATTAAGAGTGTCTTCACCTCTGGCTTTCTCAAAATGGGAACGCATGGTTACCCATGACGGGGGGCTGGGTGAGTCCAAGCACTTGCAAATTATGTGGTGAATCAGGATGAAGAAAAGTCCTAAGGCAATGTGCGTGAACCTCTCAGGAAGCTGGTGTCAAAATTACTAGAAAAACATCAGCATCAGTGATTAGCAGAATCACTAGTTTGCCATCACTGCCCCTGCAGGCAGTCTGTGAGGAAGAAGCTATGACACTTCTAAGATTTCTCCAACTAGATGCAATTCTAAAAGCATGTTTTGCAAAATCCATGTGTTTCATCTGCCTAATGGCAGCAATTCTGGACTAAGATCTGCTCTTACCTTTAGATACTTCTCTGTTGCTACCCCACTATAAAATAATGAAATTAATATAATTTAGCATTCTGAAACTCTGTAATATGCTTCATTAAAAAACTATTATCAAGTATCTGTTCTCATTGGAAAATTGCCTTACCTCAGAAGAGAAAAAAATTTTGTACCCCCACATTTGAAATACCCTTTATTTAGATGTGAGAAATCCTCCATTAGTACGTAGCAAGTCTACTTGTATTCATCTGTAGTTTCAGCTGATTTTCTGAGCTGGAAAAGTATGAAGAAAGCATGGTCTGAAAACCATTAAAATAGTAAAAGCCACCACAGTCAGCCCTGTTACTGAATTTACCACCAGCTATTCAAACAACTGAGAAAATTCTCAGCCCTTGGGTATAAAATTAAGGACATGTGAACAAGAACCATTCATCTTTTTTTTTTTTTTTTTTTTTTTAATAGAAATGCCTCCAGTTACCAAGTTAAATGCTTCATTCCTCAGGAAAAAAAAAAAAAAATGCAAGTAGGTGGAAGACTGAACCAGCCCATAATGATTTTTAGATATCTGACATTTTTGACTGTTACCCATAGTTGATCACGTGTGCCAAATATGGGCACTTCCCACAAGAGAACTTATTGTTAAGAGCTCTCTTCTCCTTGCACCCAACAAAAGTCAGCACATTTCACTAGGAACACTTCCCAGTTCTCACAGGTGCAGCCTGCAGATGAGAAAGGAAAATCATCACTTTTTAAAATTGGACAGCCCCCTCCCTCCAATATAGCATTGAGAACTTGAAGCAACTTCCAAAGGATCTTGATCTTTTTCTTCTAAATCATTCCACCAATTTGGTATCTAATTTTTTACAATTTATTCCTCAGAATAGTTAAGGCGGAGAGAGTCCTGTTTTGTTCCTTCCACAAGTGTGCATAGCTATCAATACTGGGACACAAGTATATGCAAAAGAAAATTCAAAGTCCACTGCTCATTTGATCTTTGCAGCCACTGCTATCATGGTAAAAAAGAATGATGCCAATCTATCTTAAAAGGATGTTAGCATTGGAAAAATTAATAGATATCCATTAAACTATCAATTGAGACTGACCTGATCATTTAAATTAAATCCCTTTTGGGACTGGGCAGATCTGAAGCAAAGACTTGGAAGTGAAAGGCTACTTAAACTCTGGAATTGTTTCAAATTCCAAACAGGGAGCATCTCACTTGTCTACAGACAACATCATGACAAACTGGGAAACAAAATCATTGCAAAAAGCAAAGAATGGACATGATAAATTACCTCAAATCCTTCACTCAAGTTTGCAATTCAAAGGAAGAAAAGCATAGTAACTCCCTACAGACCTTCAGGTTACAGTTTATACTTATGGAACCAGTGAAGGAAGCATGCAGATTAATGGACATTCCAATACTGTAAATCTAGTTAGATGTCAGTGAAACCTCTCTTCTCCCACTCTCAACTCAGTTTGCTTTATATCAGATAAAACACTTCTTTCATATATTGATTTATTTCCAGTTTCTGTAATCAGAGCAGAGATTCTGCATGAGCCTCATTCAAAGAATACACATCATGTTTAAGACAGAGGAATACAAGCAAGAATCTTCCTTATTTACATGTTAACCCCAAAATAGAGTCCTAAGAACCCAGAGTCCAATCTCTGTCGACCAGTTAAATCTTATGACCACACAGAACATCTGAGACATGCACAATGTGGCTCTTTAAGGATTCTGAGTAGACCTGTTTGTGAACTATCTCTAGGTAAGCCCTCTCAGGAAGCTCGAATGCAACTGATGGTAGCTTTGGATGACTGTCTGGTGTTGCCAAACTTGAGAGAAAATTCAATGGCTTCAGCAGTGCCCAGGGGCTCTGGTCAGGCCAGACCAGTCTCAGTTCATGGCACCCTTAGAAGAGCTTCCAGCAATGAGATCTCACATACACCAATCTGAGCAACAAAAACAAATGCAAGTATGGGACATTAACACTGTGTCCAAGACTTGAGATCTGAAGCAACAATTCAAATGTGGCACTACTCACTAATTCACTACTGGAGTTTTACATTCATTTTGAAACAAAGGTACAGTATAATGTATTTTAAAGCTGAAAAAGCCAAGCAAATCATTGCTCCCTAATGTTAGAAAACACACTACCAGAAAATTGCTTCCTTCAGTCACACCATCTTCTCTCAGATGAGTGCAGAAGAGCTCCTCCACTTGGAGAAACCTACCATCTGCTCCTTCATTGTGGTAGTGAACACTACAGGCTCCCAAAGGGCACTCCTACACCGAGGCATCTTCCTTATATGCATGAGAGAGAAAAGAAGCAGCAACTGTCATAGTGATTAAGAAAAATATTGCATACTTTTCTGGCAAGTATCTTATCAAGGTAATAAGCCCATCGATGCTCTCCCTCATTTGTTTCTGATTTCAGTGCAACGTGCAGGCAGTTCACACAGCTGAGCGAATGCACTGAGACAGAGCTGCTGAAGCTGTGCATATGCACAGGGAACACCGCCCCAAGACAGCAGAACTCCAGCTGCTAGGACAGCAAGAAAGGGGGAATCCTCACCAAGGACACTCTTCAACTGAGTGATCATGTAGGTTCTGAAGATTGAACACTCGTATGTCATTATACTACTCAACAAATAAACTGACATGCAGAAATGATGCTTCATTTCAGTTGGCATAGATAAATTTTGTCTCACTTCACCTTCCCAATGTAAATTTCATAACAATCTTTTGGTAACACCGTAAAACTTCTATCACCATGACTTTTCCCTACGTTTGCCAAAACATTTCTAATTTTTCATCAGATCTCTGCACTGTAGAAAAAAACTCTTCTGTCTTCTCTGAGGTTCTAAACCAGAAGCAACTATCATTTGGTGTAGACTGACCTTTCACTATAAAATTGACCATTCAATGTCTTTTAGATCCCTCTGTATTTATTTCAATGGGTTATATTTGGCTACAACATTCCTCCCATAAAGCTGCTGTCTGCAATTGAAGCCTGAAGATACACAGAAGCTACTGCTTCCCACAGTACTTTGTTCCAATGGTTAATCTGTCTTCACTGTTAAAAGTTCACACACTATTTCTAACTTGAATTAATTTGGCTTTAGCTTCAAGTTCATTTTTATGTCCATCTGCTCAAGACAAGAGACACTCCATTACTTAGTATTTTCATTGCCATAAAGGTCTTTCTATCACACTGGCAGGACATTTAGGATGCTCTTCTGAAAAAACTAAACAGACTGAGCTCTTAAGTATTCCAAATTATCTGACAATCCAAAATTGCATTGTGATACTGCTAAAGGAAATGCAATGCATTTTGGAAATTAAAAAAAAAAAAAAAAAGAAGATTGTTCTTAACTTTCTAGGATCTTGTACATTGAAAAGCAGTGATAAGAACTTTAGATTCAGAGTCAACTGCCTAAATATCACCTTTATGGTAGTGCTACAGCAGTGTTTAGGCAGCAAGGGCTAGCATGATGTTTGGATATATGAGTATATAAACCCTGAATAGCAATAGGGAAGCAAGTGTTCCTACTTCTGTAAAGAATACTCTAAGTGTATACACTAGAACTGCATGAAGATGGATGTGGAATACTAAGGATTTTCATGCAGAAGCATAATTTAAGGTTAAATGACAAGTTTTACAGTGTGAAGATCATGAAAAATGGCTTATATGGGCTAGTGGATTACATAGGACTTGTTAACTGTGTGTAGGTAGATATACATGACAAAGAAGCCTAATTGGTAATGAAAAATAGGACTTTTCAACCTGACTGAAAAAAAGGTATAGCAAGAAACTATGTCAGGATGTTGAAATTAGGAAAAAAAATATTCCAAGAAAAGATGCAATTTCCTTATAAAGAGGGTAATTAATAACAAAACTGATGACCAAGAAAGATGAGCTAATCCTTACTTGATGTTTTGAAAGTCAGATTACACATCCTTCTAAAAATATCATTAAATCCAGTTGCAGGATAAATACTATAGCTAAAAGGCTCACAAAAGTTTTCTCCAGCCTTGAAGAAAGAGTTTGTAAATCTTTGAGACAGAACCCTGGGCTAAGAGAACATAAAAGGAAAGTATCACCATATAACTACTTTGCCCTTACACTACCCCCTAAGCATCCAAACCCTGCCACTGTGAGAGACAGCCTACCAAGCCAGACAGACCTTTGGTCTGACCCAGTGCAGCCTTTCTCATGCTGTTCATCCCATTTCCTTCAGAGGTTACAAGAAAAAGAGGGCAGCTTTGCAAAACCCTGATCACCTTCATAATACTGGCAGCTCTGCTTTAAGACAATGAATACTTTAGGTCATACACACAGGGCTCAGCTATGCTTTTTCTCATTATTGTCTGCAGGTATATATATTTTGCACCTTTCTCTGATATAACAGGCCATGCCAGTCCATTTTCCTCTTTTACCGAGTTGCTACAAGAATTATCTTTTCCTGGTATGCCAGTTAATACACGAGAGTCACACCAACAGCCAGGTTTGCAGTTAGGAAGGCATTTTACCCACATTAAAGTTGAGAAGGATGTTGAAGGTTCCCTCTGTCTCCACAACATAAGTATGTATGTCACCTGACTGAGGGCCAGCCACGCACCAGTCTCCAAGCACCGGTGACAGTGTAGTCTCCCTGCACTTGCCTATGGCACAGTTTACTTTCTTAAGAATGAGATGCTTTGGTATAATCCAGACATTATGTTCTCTGTGCCGAGTTCAATCTTTGTACTGGGTAAAAGTTAATGGCCTAAGATAATCTTGTCCTGCCTTCTATATAGCAAGCAGTCCCTTATGCTTTATGCCTTAAGAAGCATTGCTAGAAAGTATTTTTTCCCATACTCGATGGTACAAAAGCAGAATCTCTCAAGCACAAAACACAGACTGGAATAGAACGCAGAAGACACAATAATGCAATATCACAATGTGAACATAAGTTTGTCCTCCTTTGATAGTCTCCTAAGAGACTATTAAAATACATTTTCTGAACAAATGGCTGGTAGCATCCCTCACTTTTGCTTCACTGAAATGTTCTCTGGTTATGAAACTGTTCCTCAAGACAACAAAAGTTCTTATCCAATTTACATGACTCCTTTTCAATATCCAGGAACACATATTGTTTTTTGTAGCATCTTATTTCTTCGGTGCAGAAGGGGTTACAATAAAAGAGGCACTCAATCATCCTTCTTGTTGCCCTTCCTCCAATTTCCCTTCTCATCCTCTGCCCACTGAGCAGGTCTCTGCAACATCCACAAAGTAACAGCATGAGCTTACTACAATTGGAAGGACAGCACTAACCATCTCAATGTCATTATTCAGGAATGCTGGCAAGACACACCTCTGCATACCACACTCATGAAGCTAATCTATCATTCAGCAGCTCTAGTCACAGCCTCTTACGAGTTTCTTTCCAGCTACTGTTTTGTTGCCTTCTTCACTCTTCATTGTACCTTACATTAAAATCATAAACCCATCAGGCCAGAAAGTACAGTCCTTTAATTCGCACTTTTCCAGTAGTTACAAACTGGACATTAAGCCTCACTAGAGCTCACTGGACCTACTGGAAATGTGCAAAGAACAACTACTAAATGCGCTCCTCCCAGTTCTCGATTTCTCTGTCACTGAATGTCCATGTGCTCTCTGTACATAAAGTCCTGTTTGCAAAAGTATGTCATTTTTAAGACGGGTCTCTGCCATCTGTGAAAAACCGTGACAATTGCATGAGGTTCTCAGTGACAGGAAGGGGTACGTCACCTTTGTAAAAAAGCAGGAAGGAAGATCTGGGGAATGACAGGCTAGTCAGCTCTACCTCGGTCCCTTGTAGCTTTATGGAGCAAGCTCTGGAAGCCATTTCCAGGCACCCAAAGGACAAGAAGGTGACCAGAAACAAGCAGCCAGTTTAAACGAAGGAAAATCATACCTATGAACCTGACTGCCTTCTATGATGAAATGACAGGCTCTGTGGATGTGTAGAGGGCAGTGGATGCTGTTTACATTGATTCCAGCAAACCTCTTGATGCAGTCTCTCATAGCATCCTTATAGCCAAACGGGGGAGCTATGGGCTGGTTGCTGTCTAGTAAGAATGGCCAGTGAGAAACTGGTTGAACTGTCAGGCTCAAAGAATAATGATCAACGGTTTGACATCTGCGTGATGGCCAGTTATGAAAAGCATGACTCAGAAGACAACAGTAGGATTGGTACTGTTCAATGATTGTTAGTGATCTGGCAGAAGGACACAGAACATACTCTCAGCAAGAACGGAAATAATGGCACGGTGGGGAGAGGAGCCACGGATATGCTAGAGGTGGGGTACCACCTAGAGGGACCTTGACAGATTGGAGGAATGAAAAGACAGAAGCCTCATGAAGTTCATCAATAGAATAGAATAGTTCAGTTGGAATGGACCTACAGCAATCATCTAGTCCAACTGCCTGACCACCTCAGGAATGGCCAAAAGTTAAAGTATATTATTAAGGGCATTGTCCAAATGCCTCAAGCACTGACAGACATGGAGCACTGACCATCTCTCTAGGAAGCCTGCTCCATTGTTTGACCACTCTCTCTATATAAAAGTGTTTCCTAACCTCAAGTCTGAACTTCCCCGATGCATCTTTGAATGATGCATCTTTGAACCATGCATCCTGTCACTGGATACCAGGGAGAAGAGATCAGCACTTCCCTTTCCATTTCCCCTCCTCAGGAAGCTGTAGAGAACAATGAGGTCACCCTTCAGCCTCCTTTTCTCCAAACTAGACAAACCCAGAGACCCCAGCCACTCCCCACAGGACAGGCCTTCCAGCCCTTTCACCAGCTTTGTTGCCCTCCTCTGGATGCACTCAAGGACCTTCACATCCTTTTTAAATTGTGGGGCTAAGAACTGCACAAAATACTTAAGGTGAGGCCACACCAACACCAAATACAGAGGGATAATCACCTCTTCTGACTGTCTGGTTATACTGTGTTCGAGGCACCCCAGGATGGGGTTTGCCTTCCTGGCTGCCAGGGCACAGCGCTGACTCCTGAGTCTGCTGTTGACCAGCACCCCCAGATCCCTTTCTGTAGGGCTGATCTCCAGCCACTCCTCTCCCAATTTATATTTGTGTCCAGCACTACTCTGCCCCAGGTGCCAATCTGGCACTTAAATTTCATGCCATTGATGACTGCCCAATGCTCTGATCTCTCTAGATCCCTCTGCCCAGCCTCTTGTCCCTCGAGAGGGTCAACAGCACCTCCCAGTTTACTATCACCAGCAAAGTTGCTAGTGGTGCATTGAGCTCCCGCATCCAAATCACTGATAAATATATTGCACAGAACTGTCCCTAGAGTTGAACCCTGAGGAACACCACTGGTGACCAGCCAACAGCCAGATGTAGCCCCATTCACTATAGCCCTTTGAGCCCTGACATTCAGCCAGTTTTTCACCCAGTACACCATGTGCCTGCTCATTTCAGTTGGACAACTTGTCCAAAAGGATGCTGTGAGGGACAGTAACAAAAGCCTTACTAAAATCCAGAAAAACTACATCCACCACCTTCTCTTCATCTCTTCACTGGGTGACCTTATCATAGAAGGATATCAAATTAGTTAAACAGGACTCTCCTTTTGTGATTCCATGTTGACTATGCCTGATGCTTACGTTGTCCATTAAATGCCTTTCAATAGTACCCAGTATGATCTTCTTCGTAATTTTTCCAGGTACTGAGGTTAGACTAACAGGTCTGTAGTTTCCTGAGTCTTCCCTCATATCCTTCTTGTAAACTGGAATAACACTGTCTAGCTTCCAGTCAGCAGGGACCTCCCCCCAGACTCCCAAGACCTTTTGTAGATAATTGAGACAGGTCCTGCTCCACTAGCTCCTTCAGTACTCTGGAATGAATCTTATCTGGCCTCATGGACTTATGAACATTCAACTGATACAACTGGTCCCTTACAATTTCAGTATCCAGAAATGGAAAGTCACCATTCCTGCAGTCATGGTCCTCCAACTCAGATGACCAGGCAGCCCAAGGTTTATCAGTATTATCAGAAACTGAGGCAAAAAAAGTACTGAATGTCTCCACTTTTTCTTCATCCCAATTTGTCAAGGGACCATCTTCAGCAAGTATCAGTCCAACGTTTTCTTTAGACCTCCACTTGCTATTAAAGTACTTCAAAAAGCCTTTCTTGTTGTCTGACACAACACTGGCCACTTTCAACTCTAATTAAGCTTTGGCCTTCTGTGTTTTCTCCCTGCATATGTGAACCACAGCTTTATAAACCTCCCGGGAAGCCTAACCTTGCTTCCAGAGATCATAGAATTTCTTTTTTCCTCCTGAGTTCCAAGAGGAGTTCCCTGTTCAGCCAAACTGGTCTTCTGCACTGCTTGCTTGACTTTCAACACAAAGGGATTGCCTGTTTTTGTGCTTTTGAAAGGTGGTTCTTGAAAACAGACCTGTACTCATGGACCCCTAAGACCTCAAAAGCAGATTCCCAGAGGACACTTCTAACTAGCTCGCTGAGTAGCTTAAAGTTCTCTCTCTTGAAATCCAGGGCAGCAACTCTGCTGACCATTTTTGTCATTACATCAAAAATTTTTAACTCAACCATTTCGTGATCACTGTGGCCAAGACAGTCACCTACCATCACATCTCCCACAAGTCCTTCTCTATTCACAAATATCAAGTCTAGGTGGGCATCTTTCCTAGATGGCTCACTGAGTGCTTGTGACAAGAAATTATTTTCAACATACTTCAGGAATGTCCCAGACTTGCTTGTCACAGCAGTATGGTATTCTCAACTGATGTCTGGGAAGTTGAAGTCTCCCGTAAGGACAAGGACAGAAGAAAATTGGAGGAGGCAAACCTGGAAAAAGACTGGGGAGTCCTGGTGGACAAGAAATGGAATATGAGTGAATTGTGTATCTTTGAAGCAATAATTACATACTGGGCCACCTTAGTGGAAGCACAGATGCCAAATCAAGGCACATTATTATTCTTTTCTGCTCAAGAAATCCACATCTGAAGCATTATGCCCTTCACTGCAAGTACTGTGTGAGTACAAGTGCGAGTTCTACGAAAATTGCCTTAGAGGAAAAGAGACAAAACAATGCACCTAGTTCCATCTAAGAATGCTGCAAATATTCAAATCTGTATCAAGCTACTGAAGTCTAAAGATGAATTTTGATAAGTATCCTGGAGTAACAAGATATATGATTCATTTAGCTTGTCTACCACTCTGTAGAATCAAATTTGGTTGAGAGCCTGTATGACCTGCAAACGGATTCTAACCTATAAATAGGAAAGACAGGGCAGCTGCAGAAACTTGAGTCTCCTGGCACTTCAGAAAGTTGCCATGGCAGGAATTATGGCTTCCAAGACAAGGCCTGACACAGTTACTCTTCAGTACTACCACAGGTACATTCAACCTCTAAAGGCAAGGAAGACCTCCGAGGAGCTTACAGACTAAGTAAGGGCTTAACCAGATGAACAGTGCTATTGACCTCAATAGGAAAATCTGATAAATTATTTTTCCCTGCCCTCAGAGAAAAAAATCATGTGAAGTCTGGCAACTCCCTCACCTCTGCCACAATGAGTGAGATGAAGGCTGTTGATACTCCAACACCTCAAACACCTGTCTTATAAAAAAGTTTTAAACACGCCCTGACACCACAGAAGAAACAGCACTACTCTGAACAATACTCAGAATGTAGCAAGATATATCATAATTGGTTTTAAAAAGGGGAATACAAAGGCCAAAATTTAAAATTTTAGCGGAATGCTCAGTAATCTAAGTCTGTTGAATAGACTCAAACCAATAGAGATTGTGGAGTATCCTTCACGAGATTAAAAACACTCAATTTCACAAATGTTCTTTTGGGGAATCACTCCCTGTCCTTGAAACAACCAGCAAGTTACGTTACAAGCCTTCCAATCCTAAAATTTGCCTGCAGGTTGTCAGGAGAATGTGACCACCTTTTCCTTTCACTGTGTTCGTGAGTACTAGACAGCCAAGCTCCTACTCTTCAGGTTTACCTTCCCTTTCTATGTTCTAGATTACAGGCCCTCCAGTGCTACCTCTTAAGCACCATTGCTCAAAGTAACTACAAAATGAAACAATCCAGTACTACTTTAAAACAGGAACACTCCTCTCTCCACAAAACACTTACAGCTTGTCCTGTAATCCAAACTGACCTCTGTACTACTTCAGCAAGGTAAAAAGGCTTTCCCTGTTCTAATTAGTTCTAAAATGTACTACTACCAAAAAAAAACCAAAAAACCCAAAAGGTTTTGAGAGGGATTTACATGGACAGATCTGACAGTTTGCTTGGGCTGTGAAATACAAATCCAATTTGGATCTTTCCCAAAGAATAAGTAGGTATTAGGGGATCAGACACAGACAGTGTGTCTGTAATATAACTGTATTTGTCAATCATCATTTAGTGAGTCATTCAATTTTTGTTTTGTGTATGTTATGACCATTTAACATTTTAATACAGAATTAAATATAAATAACTGCTTTATATCCTCACAATAAAATCTGTCCCTCAGTTCTTTGATTTATAAGGGAGAGCACAACACTACAAAATCACTAAAAACATGCAAATTTTGTTATCTGCTTAAGAGTGCTAACTGCGCCTGCACATTCAAAATTAATTTTACAAGCTTAAACAGTCCTGTCTGAAAGTTCCAGCCGGTGAGGAAAGCAAAAACATTTCTATGCATACAAATATATCCTATTTTTAAAGGACTTAAGACATGAGGCCATCTGTTGCTTGACATATGCTAAGCAGGTATATATTCTAAAAACATATATTCTAAAAACATAACCAAAAATAAGCTCCAGATAGCGTAATTCAAGAAAAGTGAGTGGAGTATGATCAAGAATTCAAGAAAAGAAAGGGAAGAAATCACTATCCATATATTCTGCAACACAGAAAGTAACCAGGGACCAAGTAGAAATGCTATGAATAGAAGAGAATCTGTTTTGTGTATGCTGCAAAGTACAATCATCAGTAGGTGGAGACACCTCCAGTAGATACAGCAGACAATACTTTTTGAAGGGATGGATAACATGAGACAGAAGTGGTCTGACAAATACCCCAAATGCTCTGAACTCAGGTGATACTTTAAATGGCTTTTTTGTTCAATGGCACGTTAACTTCAACGGCAAGCATCCTTTAGAAATGCTAGCAGTACTTTTTTAATTTATACACTGAGAAATTGAAATTTTTTATATCTTCTACCATACTCCAAGGATATTCAAAGGCCCAGGTTCCTTTCCAAGACACCAGCTTGCACATTTATGTCCAAGTAGTTCTCCCAGATCCTTATCCAGTAGGACATTTAGGAAAGAACATGCAATACACAAGGCAAGACTAAAGACATTCAGAACAAGGGAGAAGGAAAAGGTCTACTGGACCATGCTGCCAGTGAGCCAGTGGCAATTTCTGAATGAAGCACCATATTTACTTCGCTAGAAGCAACATGATTCGAGTCCATTAGCACATGGCCTGAAAACATTCTGCTAATACAGAATTCAGGTTCCATGCTTCATCTTGTTTGCGTTCCCTCCTCATTCCCGAGCCAAGAAATCCTTCTGGCCTGGAAGAAAGCAGGGGGAGACTTTTGTCTCCCTGAGCGGCAGTGGGACTTCCACCCAAAAAATGCCAAATGCACAAACAAGCAACATGTCCCGGGGATGAATAAAGATCTGAAAATCCAAAAGAATCTGTACATGACCCAGCACATACGAGCTGGCATCAGGGAAGGAGATGAATACATAATAAATACAGCAATAGCAAGAACATTTTTAAAAGCCACTGCGGTCCCAACACTGATTACCTTTTTTTATACATAGATTCACAAACATGATTTAGGTATGTGGGGCACGCAGATCAGTCTGGATGATGGCACGCATCACGCACCAATACTGAAGATATCACTACTGCCAAATGGGATGCTTGGTGAAGACACAAACCAGTGTCAAACACTTCCAAAATCCAGCAAGCTTTTACAGTTGCAATGCTTCCTTTTAGCTGTATCCAGGGCTCTTCTCTGGTGGCATTTTAAAAAAGTTACTGGAGGCAGCAACAGTGGCTTTCTCAGCTGCTGGTGTTTTCCCTGTCCACTCAGAGTTCTGGGATCTCAGGGATGGTGTTGATGGTAGCTCTGACTCTGCTGCATCCACGGGGACAGATAAAGTTGCTGGAATATAAAATTGCAGGAAAGGGGAAACAGAGGAAGAGAGTAGGAAAGGGTAATAAGAAAATAAAAAAAAGTTAGAACAAGTGCCTCATATATATAATTTCTTATATGAAGGTGTTATTTACTGAGTTCCTACAGGCTCGCCCACCAAATTCCTTTGAAATATAGATTCTTGATAACATTAGCAGTTTTGTCCTAATGATTTTCATATTCAGACCTTCAAGTTCCCAGTCAACTAGCTCTCCTCCTTATCCAGTAAAGGCAGTACCATGAACCCCCACATATATCCAATATAGTAATTCAGCATATTATAACAAGAAGTTACTTGCTAAGGTGGGTTGGAATCCATTCTAATTTTCTCAATACAATCACTGCTTCAAAATGGGACAGGCTATAATTGGCAAGAGAGATTTGCAGATCCATAGCTCAACCCAAAAGTCACACAAATTTCCAGAAGGATTGTCAGAAACCTAGAGATATGAGAGTTTACTCCCATTCTCAGCATCCTGAATCACTCAATCCTCACAAACAGAACAGGGAAGAATAAAAAAAAAAAAAAAAAAAATAGTAATTGCCACAGGAGTCTTTGGGCAACCAGAATTTTTTTTAACCAGTAACTGCTTCAGTACAAAAACACATCTCTTTCCCATTGTACTCTCACAACAAATAGTTGTTTGTGCATTTTTATTACGAGTTGTGTCTGCTGCTCTGTAGTGGATGAAGGATAAAGAGGCCATAACAAGCCTCAACTAGAGGACTGATTGCTTTGAAGTTTAAATAAAAACCTGGTTCAATGTTTGAGGTTCCACACTCAGTAGATCTGGAACCCCAACAATCCTGCTTCTGTACATCCAAAACAGTGAATCATTCTCATACAACCACAACAACACAGCTGATAACAATACATTGCATATTTTACCTCTAGCCCATCAACTTTCTCCAGCTGAAGGTCATTTGCAACATGAAAAAAAGAAAAGTCAAAGTCCTTAAACTCATAATCACCGCACCAATACTAGACTATGGGACTCTTGCTAGCAGCCTCCCCACTCAGGCTCTCCACCTTCACTCATAAAAAGAAAAAAAGTAAAGGACTGAAATGGACTTCTTGCTGCTGGATACCATCACGCCATGACAAAGAGCAAATGCATTAGCAAGAAATAGGAGAGGGAAAATTCACCAAATTGCTACTACTCATCAGACTGTTCTCTGATAAGAAGTTTCAGAGGCTTAATTATTAATTTTCACAAGCTACATGTGAATACATGCCAAGGCAGACCAAAAAAAAAAGAATTCTGTGCAGATTTTTACCCCAGACTCACTGTAATACCTGAATAGGATGCCAGTTGCAATGTGCACTGCTACATATACAAGGGGCTAGACCACATAAACATTAAAATCATCAATGTAAAGTTGGACAATTGTTCACCATATATTTCACAACCATCTATACTTGTAGGCTATTCTGACAATGGAAGATAGACAAAACGGTCTTCATCAGATCCCTTTCAAACCAGAGAATAACATTTTATACATTATTTCTCAGACAAGCTCTACTGTGCCATTAAGGACATTATTCCAAATCTATTGCACTGCAACAGAAAGTAACTAAACACAAGGGCACTATCCGTGTCTTTTGAAACCCCTAAGTCCTAGATCACTGAAAGTTCAAAGGACCTTTAACACTAGACTTTCTTCCTCCTTACACACTGGCTGTTGGCCACAGAGTTGGATAAACTTCTGGTCTAATCGAGTACAGCCAGTCTTACTTCCTCCGGATTTCCTTATTCTGCTGCCAAACTACACCAGCCAGACTTCTGTTCTTTCCTGGTGAAAGCCACATGCTTTAGGGCTCACACACTGCTCAGTTGTGTAGTGTGGAAAGCACTAACTTTCATTTTCAATCTTTATCAACATTTACATAAGTTTGGTCAATTTAATTTTGATGTCACTTCCTGAAGTACAAATGAATTTTTAATTTTCTATCCACTTTTTCTTGCTCTCAACAGCCAGGCCTTTTTCCAAAATGCTATTCTTTAACAGCTATCTCAGTTATGGTATTTAGGCCAGTTAGCCTCAAAAGGCAGGACAAATACCAGAAGTTTAATGCTATAATAATACAATAGAGACCAATGCACTTCTGCTACAGTAATGCCTGTTTTTTGATGTTCATACAAGGGTGTCTGACAAAAGATGCTTTACCAGAACCCATAAATACTCACATTCATGAAAGTGCATGAGAAGGTATGGAATAAATTTAAGTTTATTTGGCTCCCAAATAAACATATCTCTAGCTCCTTTCTCTCATTCCTGCACCTAGAAAGGAGATAGCATCCACATCTCATGCCTTTTATTAGCATCTTCTGATTTCAGCCAAATTCAACTCAAAACTTTCTGTGGATGGTGGGGGGACGAGGCGACAGGGGAAGATTTGTAGCTGCATGTTTAAGAAAGAAGCTAAATTCATCACAATGACAGGGGAGAGTGTTGGCAGAGATTTGAGCTATTTATTCTTTTAGGAAAATCCTATAAAGAATGACACGAGGAAGCCTCTATCTGCAGTCTTGTTCATCACACTGGTGAGGAGTCCGATAACAGATGTATGCAGTAGCGTGATTTAGTGCCGGGAGCTGGCCCCTGATGTGTATTAATACAGCGGCAAAGCGGAACGAGCCCCTCTTCATCACTCATCTCTATAAAAGAGGTGGAATCCGAGATGGCCCGATGTTCGGCAGAGCAAGCCCATTTGTTCTGCTGACTGATGGAGCCAGCTCAGGCTGTGTCCTTCACCTCCATGGGGCACTCAGGTTGCAAAAAAGGAGATCACTGAAGCAGGACCTGGTCAACAAGTGAGACGAGAGCAGTTGGACTCAGCTAAGGAGCTATTTAAAGGTTAAGAAATCCAGCACTGTGCCTGCAGTGACAGGCATGGGTCTGCATTCTGATTCACCTGTGTTTCATTTTTTGCAGTAGTAGTAAAACATCAAAAACATAAAAAGCCTCCGTAGCAAGAAAATGAGACCGCCAGGATTCCTCACATACAGGGGAACCCCAGTATAAGGGTTATGTAGGGGCAAACAGATGCATGGCAAAGGAGAAAAATCTGTATCTACCTCATCAACGTCTAAAAAAACAGGAGTCCTCAGTTAATTCTACATTACTGCAGACTAATCCTATGTATTTCTTCAGGCATTAGTAATTCTACAGTAAGATCACCTTTGACAGAAATAATATCAGATTTCAGAAGTTTCCAAGTTGCATGCCCAGGTTGTACTCCAGCTGCAACTGGGAGACCACTGTAGAAAGTCAGCTAGGACACAGCTTCAGTTACCCAGTCATAAAAGTTTCTTTCCTCAAGCTAGTATTGTAGCAAACCCTGCCCATAGCTATTATCTTTGCTGGAGATATTTCTAAACAGAGTCTAAGGAAGACCATTAAATACCTTGCAGCACTTTTCTCTTGACAATTAGCACAAGCATCCTGTCCAGATTCCAGTAACTATACTCTCCTTCCTTATTTTGTAGTACATACTCTAATTTTCTCTTCCTCAGCCCTAAAAGCAAAAAACCTTTCAAACCTCAGTGTTTTTTTCCAGTGCCGAGTTCCACTCCAGATACAGATTTAACTCTTCAAAAAGCATTCACTATACAATTTGCCTAGTCAGGTAAGTACAATTTAGGTAATATTTTGAAATATGTAGGCATAGAAATAGAAGCTCTCACTATAGAAAGTGACCAGCAATGAAGTACAAAATACACTCTGAATAATGAATAAATGGACAGGTAACAGAGGACAGTGAGACACTAGCATTCATACCAAGAAAATGTAGTATCCCAGAACTAAAATTCTGTGATATTACTAAACCTTTCACTACAGAAGTTTGTATATCCTAGCATGGAATACTCAAAAGCCAGAAAAGAATATCCTAAATAAACAGTCAATAACAGATAACACTTTTTCTGAGCAACGGATTATTAACTTAATGTTCTTTTCTTTTTTAATACAGAACCTTTCAGACAGTCTGTAATCCAGGCATGTGGCCTGGAGAGCTAGCACAACTTTCTTCCCTACTTCATTATTCTACTGTCTATCCACCACCAAGGAAGAAATCCAAACTTCATTCCTCCTATTCATCATCGGTTCCTATGGCCTTCCCCACTGTTTTCACATCACCGTTTTCCCCATCAGTTTACCCACCTCTTTGTTACTGGATTACAATAATAGTTTCTAATAAGCTAGTTGGAAGAGCATGTGTTGCATGGCAGGCAAAATATTTCAAGAGAGGGTAGGGTGAGAGGCCAGAAAGAAGTCTCCTAAACCCCTCTGTGTTCTGCAGATGAAAACTTTTTCAGATTCTGATTAGTAATCAATCGCTTTCCAGAAATATGCCACACGAAAATAAACCAGCATTTTAATCACTATATCCCCAGAGCAAGAAAAGCAAGAAAGTGACTGTTTTCATCCACAAAAATAAGACAACTCCCAGAAAATCACCCAGTGATGATACAAAAATTGCCAGATTTCTGCTCCTGTGAAAGTATCTAGAAACACCCTGAAAAACAGCACCAGAGCCACCAGGTAGTGTCAGCCCAACACTGAAGGAACTCACTGTGTATACTGATCACCTGCTTATTACCATGTACTGCATAATTTAGGAATGGTGGAAATAACACCTTATGAATAAACAGATTATTACCCACTGTAAAGTGAAGCACTGTAAATTATATTAACTTATCATAGCTGCATCATCAAAGACTTGTTTAGTAAGCAGCTTTTGATGCTTTGCAAAAACACTTGATGAGTCCCTCACATGTTGCCTTTCTAACACGTTTCATTAGTTTTAAATCAAAGTAATGCTATTTTTGACTACTTTGACACTTTGCTCAGGAGGGACACAACTTTAGAAATGCTGGCACACAGATAAATCCAGATTACCTGATGTTGGACTGGACATGGAAGCTGCAGCTGGCTTTCGTTTCCTCTTGATGTCCCTTGAACATGGTGGTCCCAGGTGTACATTTGTTTGCCTATAGAGAAATTAAAACAAATTAAACTCAGTTCTAGTATTGCCTTTCCCTGTAAGACTATAGCAAATCACCCTCTAACTCCCACCTTCCCATCAGCTTCTCAACTATGAGGCAAGACAAATCAAAAGCTTCTCAGGGAAGTTTTGCTCACATTCTTCACTAACATACCATTATATTCCCATTTCTTTTAAGAGCTCACACACACAAACTGCTCAGAAGAATAATCATTTCTTAGCCTTTAAAGGATCTGTTTTTATATTAACTTTAAAAGAACTCTTTGCATATCTAAAGATGTGATCGAGCAGTGATACAACACTTGTCCTACCATTACTGCTGTGGAAGTGTAACAAATGCCTGCAAGATTGCTCTTTTAACAAATGGTGCGATATTTGCTCCCTGGTTCAGAAATTATTTTGCAACCTATTTGGTACTGTAGAGTCATCTCTGAATGTACCTATATTCCAAATGTCCATGAATATTGTTTCCACTACAGTAGGAAGTTCATAAAGTTAGAAATGCAAAAACTGTTTCATGCACTTTCAAAATTATGATTCCCTTATCAAAGTGCTGTGAAAACAGCTAAATCTGGCTTATGGTAATACAGCTTTGCTGCACCTGTAAACTGGCTGAAAGGCATCATCTGTCCCAGTCATAGCAACTGTTACGTCTGAAGCCTACTGATGACCTTTTCAGTTTAACCATTTGACAATTACGTAGAAACCTGAATTATTGGGACTGACTTGAACTGAGCACTCCTTCAACTTGTAGATGGAGGAAGAAGAGAAGTTTAATTCTGAGAAGACAGTCTTGGCAGCAGACCAGAGAACTTTCTCAAATACAATCCATAATGAATACAGATGCATAATTTAGCAATGACGTTGGGTTCAAATCCCTGCTTTGTCTGAGATGTCTCTTTTGCAAGTTCCTTGGTCATCCTCTGCATCAGATCTAACACGCAAAATGCAGAACTACAGTGAAAATAAAATCTATTAAAGATTGTGAGGTGCTTACATGGTGTAAAGATTGTAACCATATAAATTTTGATGGCTAAGTGATGAAACACTTCTGTGTCTTTAAAGCTTGTTATTTTAATTTTTAAAAAATCCTGAAAGTTTATTAAACACATTTATCAAGTGCTGAAATCTTTTGCAAATAACAAAAGGAAAAGTTCATGGCTCTATATTTCCATGCCAAAATCTATTTTAAGGAGAAAAAAAAAAAAAAAAAGCAGCAGCATATTTATAATATATACAATTTTAGATGCTGAATTTATGCAAAACCAGAGTGTGCTGTTGTAGCTATACAGAACAGTGCAGATAGCACAAAAAAATCTCCTATACCAGCCAAGACTATAAATTGTTTGAATGCTGCTGAGTCTACCTACTTACCACGAACAAATGTGCAACCACAAAATAAGAAAGAAATATCTACTGTTCTGCCTTCTCAACTAAAATTTAAAAGATCTACACGAAGTCTACAACATCTGTCATCTAAATCTGACGCTAAGGAATAGTTTCAAAAATTTTTAAATTGTTCTAAGTTTCATTGACAGACAATTTTTCAAATCTGGGAATGTATATTCTCCTGAAAGCATGAACTAAAGGCTTTCACAAACACCAGCACACCTATAGGCTGCGTATTCAAATCTTGTATTTGCATACATAAGTGACTAACCTCTAAGTGACTTCACATATGCTAAAAACTGCTTTTGTACACGATTATGATCGTAGCTATATAATATTTTAGCACAGTTCTACCATGCATTTCGAAGCATCTAGGCACACATAGCCCACACACATAGCCCAAGGAAAAGATCTCAATCAAGTGGAACTTCAGGTTTTTATTTTGCATCAGTGACACTGTATTAGATTACTAACTAGATGACTACATAATTATATATAATAATCCAACTAGTTTTATATAATAATAATAGTAATAGTAATAATAACAATAATAATAAATAATAATAATAATGTTCTCTTTTAATTTTATTAACTTACACCAACATTAGCTAGCTGATCCTTTGTGGAAAATCACTACGGACTAGGAGAGAAGTATGCATTATCATTTCCAAGAGACTTTATGCAATTTTTCCCAGTTCACAAATGCTACAGATAGATTTTGAATAAGAGCTCCTGGCTCTCAGCTCCATGCTCAAACCACATCTTCCCATGCCTCATGATTACACAGGGGGTAAAAAAAAAAAAAACAAAAGAAAAATGAAAACAGAATATGAGAATCTCAAAATCCCTTCTTGTAGCGAAAGTAAAGGCAAATCATACACCAGCTGGAGACTAATAGCAAGGATGCTGCATCTAGCAGCCCTGCCTCTAACACACAAAGGCTCAGAGGTCATAAATTGTCTCTGTAACATGTATTTCATTCAGGTTTATCCCTTATTGATCACCCACACTTCAGTTAGTAAATCAGGAACCTATTGATTACTCACTGGCTCTGACTGACCTGGTGGTAAAAGTGTCAGTTTCAAGTGGCTGGTGCACTTTACGGGCACCATAAATCTGCATACAGGGAAGCTCCAGGTGGTAGGTACCTTGGGACAGAGAGGAGTAGAAGAATGCACACAGGGATGATAGTCCTCATTAAGACATGGACAGAAAAGGTGTCTGAGTTATAATTTATGAAATATGCATTTTTTGGTAGACACCACACTTTTCAATCTGTATTTCTAATCACTAGCTTGCATACAGGTGCTAGATGGGCAAGAGAATAGTATTGGTGAATCCCAGTTTAACAGCAGATTCCTAGAAACATCACAATCAGGAAAGTCAGGTCATGGGTATGCCCAGCACACAACATTGCAGTGGACAGGCTGAACTATAAATGCTGAAAATCTCACTGACTGGCTGCAACCATGAATTAGCTTTTCTGCCAAAGTTGAATTTTAACATCTTTTCTGAACAGTTTAAAAATGACTATGAAGTAGGCTGAGAGTAGGCTCTGAACAGGACTGAGAAGAAAGCCTGACAGAAAATGCATATTCGTGCATTGTCATGGGCCCCTCTGTGAGGAAGTCCAAGGCACAGAGCTTTGTGGGGTGAAAAATCTGGGCCTAAACTGAGAAATCACAATGGTATTTACTCCATCCTTACTGGCTTTCAATCTCTTCTGCTAGGCTTCTATACTTTCTTCAACGTTGCACAAATAGTAATGAGAAAATAATTGTTTGGTTACTTTTTCTTATGATCAACCAGCCATAGTCCAAAAGTAAAGTTGCAGTGCTCAGTCACAGTTGGATCTGCTAGGTGACCAGAGACTAATGTGAAAACCTAGTTTACAGTCTAGAGAGGATTGAAATTCTAGCCTGGGAAGAGAAAAAGTAGAACACACCTGGAGAGACAAATCAGAATCCTCTGTGCAGCTACACAGGTGGCTGCAATATGTCCAACTCACACTGCAGCCTCTCACTGCCAGGAGTTAGTGAATGAAAAATTACATACATATAGAAAAAATGGTTTTATATGAAAAAAAAGACTATAGTGTCTTTCTGACAGGATAGTGATGATTTTTTATTTTAAATCACAAGCTAAAGGAATTATCCAGAAAATACTGATTTGTCTGTTGTTCTTAACATAATACTTAACGTACTTGATTCTGCATGCAGGTCATGCTGGAGAAAAAGCAGGCTTTGCTATGCAGAAAGCTGAGATTCATTGCTGTCTCTAACACATCAGAAGTAATGCTTCCTTTCTTTTCTTTTCCACATATTTATTCTATGACTTCATACATTTTTTTTTTTAAATGAACTGTAATTGCATACAATGGACTCCTATCTCACTTCTACAGTTCAGGGTTACCACATGCTGGACAATAGGTTCACAGGAGCTTGCCAGTATTTTACATCTACCACAGAGTTTCAACAGAACATTGGGATTGGCAGTAGAATCTGTGGAAGACAATAAAGAGCACAAGCAGACACCAGCCCACAAAGAACATTATTGAAAAGCATCAGGCCCCTGAAACCTTCACAATCTGTGAAAAAAACCTCTAGATTGTAAAGTGATTTCCACTCTTAAAATTTGGAGTAAAAACCAGCTCAGTCTCACAATGGAGGTCTCTGAGAAAACCCTGTGGAGCTAATTGTGACACTCTATGGCCTTCTTAAGAGGCAGGAGGTACATCACACACTCGGGGGTGTATGCCTCGTTGTAATCTCACATCATCCAGCTTCTCTGCTGACAATCTTTATTCTAACCCTATCCTTAGAGGAAGCAAAGCATTTGGATTATGTAGTGAAAGTGAAAGGCAGCCATTAATCTACTGTCATACATACAGGGGACGCTATTATCCTCACGTTAAAGTAAATGTTCAACAGAGACAGCATTCTAACAAGGATACTGTTACTAAAACTCCACACAACCCAGCTGTTGCTGTTGTGATGCTATATTCCCAGCAAACTAGGCCAAATAAAAGGCTCTTTCTCCAAGCCCCGAGGTGTTACCTGAGGCTGTTGATGGTGGCTTCACAAAATTAATAGTAAAAGCAGAGTGCTTCCTCCTCTTTGACTGTAGAGCCAGCTGGGCACCAAAGTCTGATCTGCACATAACACGTGTAAATCAATACAAGTTGCTCATCCAATCTGCACAAAAATCTCCCATGCATGCAACTGGCTCTTGTTATCACATCACTGTAGGTATTTCCTGTGCATAGCACCGTCTCCTCTGCCCTGCAGAGTCTCATGGGAGAGCTTCTAAAGCACATTTTCAGATTCCAAAATTACTAACAAGTCAACTCACTTCTTAAATCATCCAAATCTCATACGTCTTCATGCAGCAGGAGTCTGTTCCCAAAGTAAGCAGTCTCATGACGTAGCAATTCCATTTCTAAAAGTATGTGTGTAGCAAATGCAAGAGAGCGCATTTTCTTCTAGTTTTCCTTGTAAGCATTCTAAGCAGAGATGATGTGACCCCATATATCGCATTCTCTATTTTCATACTGCATCACATACCTGTGCCAGAAAGAGTCAAAGTATTTGCCAGACCTGCTGTGTACATGGATTTGATAATGGCAATGTGCTTTATAAGCAAAGAAAGCAATAGCAAATAAACAAAATTCTGAAGCCAAGGGGAATTTATTTTTCACTCCAGAGAATTAGGATTCACCAAAATAGGAGCATTACGCCTCAGACAACTGCATGTGACACTAAGTTGATAGCTGCTGTTCATTGCATGCCTGTCAGAAGAATTCAGTTATATCCCCAACTGGAATATTAGCCAGGCTTTAGCAAAGGAAGATATGAAAGTGCTCCAGTTAAATGGAAAAAGAGGTGTTTTTTAAAAAAAAAAAAAAAAAAAACAAAAAAAAACCAACAAAAACTACAGCGAAAGCCATCTAAAGCAGTTGACAGCTGGCATTTTTACATAAAGATAATTCCAGGAAGATGAAGATGTGTAGATAGGTTGTGTGGAATGAACTGCATACTGTCCTGGTCAAGTGGGAAAGCATGAAATTGTGAACATTCATTCACTCTTTCAGCTGTCTCTGGAAAGGCTCGACATTGCGGGCAATCCCTGTACTTCCATATGCTTGGGTAAAAGACAAAAATGTCGGGATCTCTGCACAGATACAGAAGAGAAACAACAAGATTTACTTTGATGTGCATATTTCTAGATCTGGAACTAGAATTAGATAAATTCAAGCCTTTTCACTCTAACAGCACCACCAAAAGCAGGGTATGAAGCAACTGGCAGTTTACTAGATGAGGACCACTCAACCCTTTTAAGTCTTTATCCCGTGTTCCAGGCAAGATGAGAGACTTGTTTCTAAACCCAATTAAACTCTAGGTGTGCAGTTAATATTAACAGAGAGTACATGCAGAGTGATTTTCTTTGATTCATCTGTACTGTTCAGAGATCTCTCTAACATAATTCTTCAAATCTCTACCTTCAACATCTACTTGCCATCCGAGGTCCACTTTTCCCATGACCTCCAGTGGAAACATTTAATTGAGTTTTTCATTCAAAACTCTATTTTCAAGGCTGGGCAAACAATAAATGGCATTACAGACAATTTACCATCTACCTGCTTTTCAAACTCAAATTGAAGGGAATATTGGCTCTAGGCTCTTCTGAAACTCCTACCCTGCTTCAAGGGAGTAACAGTCACCAATCAACAACCTATAACACCTTCCTACTGATAGGGCCATTCAACAACCAGAATCCAGTAAGATATTCCACTTGACCTGGTACAAAATTCTCTTAAGTAGGAGTTCAAGAAGAAAATTCTGCTCAGACCACTCCTTTCTCCCAGAGAGGCAAATGGGCAGAGGGGAAAGAGGGAAAGGATCAGTTGGGCTGTCCATGCAAGTCTCTACTTGTTTGCTTTTAACAGCCTGCATCATGAAGCCGAAACCTTAACAGACAAGACATGATTAGCAAACGCTTTGTGCTCTTAAAGGAGAGTAATTATAGGCATGTGAAAAAAGGAAGGGATCCCTGAGGTACTCTTCCTTGCATGCCTCCCGAGAGGCAGCAGGGCCATTAAAAATTCCATGATGAAGAGGAAAAACAGCCTGGGAACAGCCAGGAGGCAATACAGCAAATTAATACACCAGCCGTCCCTCGGGAAGACTGCAAGAAAGCAGGAAACTCTCCCTGCTTCACAAAATAAAATTATACCACTAATGATAACAGTCACCACACACACAAAACTGCTTCTAATGATGGGTGTGAAATTCCCAGTGCTGTGCACACACTTTGAATGAAATCTCTTCTCATCACAGACATAAAGCAAGAAAGGTAATGTTGGCAGTGTACAATTTATACAGCCTTTCAAATAAGACTTCCCAAGGAACCCTCCACATAGAACCCCCTCCTTAACACTGAAAAGCCTTTCTTGAACACCCCCCGGCTGTGCTCAGTATTCTGGCCTTCAGCTCTGCTTGAATGAGGCACTGGGTTACCAGTCTTCTAGAGGAATGGCACCAAAATCCACCAGAGACACAGAAAAAATTTCCATAAGAGAGAAAAGACTTCACCTGGTAACTATACTCCACTGGACACACTTGCAATAGCAGAAACTAAGCAGAAGGAGGTAATTTTGCATGCCATAGTGGACAACAGGTTGATGAAATTGGATGTTCACAACATCAAGACAGTTTTAGATCATTCTCAGAGGATTAGCTTCCCCACACTCACACCCTTACAAATTTCTGAGTAAAGTTTCTCCAGGATGAGGTGCAAGCTGCTAGAAGCTTAGTAAAGCACAAACTACTGCAACTGACTCCATCCATGGCAAAAGAAGAAGATAATAACTGGGGAAATGGCTGAAGAGTGCTTACAGAAATCACATAAACCTCCTGTGTAAAAACAGACTACTAATAGGCTTGGCTCCTGAAGCACCTAAAGAAGAAATATTGTCCAAAAAATTGTTTCTGTGAAGGAACAATTTTCTTCTGTGCCCTTGGCAGCATCTTTACATAAAGCAAGCACCTTGCACTGAAGAGTTCAATCCTTGCCACATACATGGAGCCACATAACACATTCATTCTTTCCATACTACTTTCTGCTATAGAGATTTTTGAACACATTTCACACTAAAATAGGAACTACTTTCTCAAACTACAGGTACTTAAAAACACAGCTGTCTCTGGGACGGGGCAACTTTTCTGCCAAAATTTAACAACAATTCATCGGGGATCATGTTTTTCAGTCACCTATTCATTAGAGGAAGGAACCAAGCATATATTCATCTGTTAATTAGACTACATATTCATCAAAATCAAGCAAACATGATTCCACCATGTTTAGAAATCCCTTTCTATAACCAATAGCTTTGGAAAGGGCCTTCAGTGATCATCATAAAGGTAGAGATTTTCCCGTTTGAATTTGTGAGCAGGATTTGTCTAGCCCTCCTTTTCCAGAAGACAAACTCTCATAGAGCACTAAGTAAAACACTCAAGTCACAAGAAAGGTTATCCTAGCTGTAAATGAAGTGAGCAATCAATCTTCCTGCTTCATAGGCACGAAACATCCCCAGAGTAGGGCAAAAGCACAGAAAGGAACCAGTTTGCTGATGCACAATCTTCTGAATTCTTTTTATGCTCATCCAGTTGAATGTTTAAGAGCTGATTTCTTTCCTCCCTCTCCCCTTCCAGCTTTAACATGCTGGCTACAGCAGCATGAGGTCATGGTGCAACATCACAAAATTCCCTGCAGAAGTCAGTGGGAGGAGAGGCTTTGCTGGGTGAATGCCAAGCTTCGTTGAGACACATACAACCTCAGTATATTTTTCATGCTCTATTTGCTAATTAACAAGGGAAAAAAAGCCATGAAGCTGAAAGTCCAGACGTTCCTTTCAGATGTGATCTTTCGTACAAGCACATAGGCAGAATTGTGTTCCAAGCAAGGATTCGTCTCCTTGCAGAGGGAAAGAGCTCAAGGACACCTTACCTTTAGATAGTCACCTGCAGCACATGAACAGGAGTCACACCTCCAAGGCCAACATTTGAATTTAATTTAGGATTAGTCAGCAGAAGGTGCCTGAATATCATATTAACCCCAACTATGCAGACTTAAACATACCGCAACATTTGGCCAGACCAGATCTAAGTTTCAGCTACAGCAACAGAGACAGATATCAAGCCATCAGAGGTCACCTCAGGTGAGTTCTGAATCCGCCCAGAGGGTCTATTTTAGGCACCAAGGATACCAAAATGCCTCAGCATGTCATCCATACAAGCTTGTCAGCACTCTCCCTCTCATCTCATTCCAATTTTAATAGTGGGCAACAATACTGTGCCCATTTGTACCTATACAACAAACTTGAAGCAACTCACTGCACAATCCAGAACAGATCATACTTATTTCTAGAAGCACAGTATGTTCTGCCTGTCTGTCATACACTGTTTCATATAATCTAAGCACTTAGTGTATTGAGACTCTCAAATAATCTGCATTAGTATGTTTTATGCTAAAGTTTGAACACAGGCCTCCTAGGGAAAAGTACATTAACTTCCAGGTCCATGAGTACTGTTTGGACCACATGGTACTACTGAAGATAACTATGGGTGGGAAGTAAGACAACCCCAACAGAGGAGAGCAAGGGAGTTACCTGGCAGTGCAGTGTGCTGGTGAGCATCTTCGGTGGGAAGCATCAGCAAGCACATCCAGAGAGTACAGAGGAGATAATGGATTGAACTGGAAAGTCAAGAGATTTATTTAAGCAAAGCATTAAAAGAAATAGTCTCCAGATACAGCTGCTCGTATCTATTCCCTATAGTTGTTCATACAGTATAAGAACTTTCTGACATATCAAAGGGTGAGACTAGGTGAAAACTCTCACTTCAGACAAAAGGCTAGCACAGGATAGAACAGCAAATCTCATAACCATCTTCTCACAACAGACAGCCTTATAAGCACACTTCTCTTTCAACTTGCATTATTAAAAATGCTGGTTGACTAAGAGCATACTCAAAGTGCTCTATTGCTGCATGCCATGAGCAAAATGTCTGCCTCCTTTTCAGGAAGTCTCTTGTCTGCCTTCACATTGTAGAGAGAAAAGTCACTGTCATGAATGGTGCAAGCACAGAGCTTCCCACAGAGCAGTTCCAATATTCCCTATGGTCATACGTATCACTGAAACAGACCTCTAAAAAACTCAGGCCCAACAGGTTCAGTTAACAACGAGCTCCCAAATCATTCCACAGCAAGTCAGCTGTTCCTCCCACCCCCAACCCACCTCACAAGATTTCTTTGCAAAACTGCTTAGAAAAAATCTCTGAAACACTATGTGGTCAGGCTAATCTTAGACCATTTGTTAGACATACATTAGACAAATCCTGAAAGCGTCAAACCTGTGCAAGGCAGCTTGTTGTAGAAGGCGCAACTCTTAAGATTTTTTTTTTTTTTTAAAGGTCAGGACAGAAATGCATGGAGCAAACTTTGCCCAATATTCAAATAAAAGGTTTAGACTGGTAGTTTCTCTGAGATACCCACATTACCTTTCCATTCAGGAAATTAACTTCCATCTGCTTTGCAAAGTGCTACACCAATCTCCAGAACACTTTTCTTGTATTACTTGTATTACTGATGCATTTTTAAATAAAGACAAGCTGTATCATGACTCATCATAAAAGCTATCTGCAACTCTAAAAAACAGTACTAGGCCTTTGCCTTCAACCCTACTGAGAAAGAAGAGGCACTGTGCACCACAAAGCTGCTGCTATCAAGTTGCTCCTCCTTAAGTTGGACTGTTAGTTTACTGTTAGTGAAGTAACACTGCAGCTGCACAGCAGGGGAGAATCACCAGTAACCCTCTGTAGCTGACTCAAGTTCATTTAAAAAAAACTAAAGTAATTTATTTTGGTCATTTTAAAACTTATGTAGTTATCATTCTCACCTTAAGCAATATAAAAGTGGTATGTGAAATGTTCTCATTAACAGAAAATACACAATTGCACAAAGGCCTGAAAATTACTTCTTCCCATATATGTATTTTCAGCCAACTGAAGGGTAAAACAGATTTCAATTCGACTGCTCACCAACCAAAAAACAATTCGCAAAGGAATAGAAGGGAGTGTGCATGGCTAGGAACACTGTCACAACACAACTGCTCAAATGGAAGATCCTTTTTGCTTTCTGCTATTAAGAACCTGAGCTCTTATATCTTAAGTAAAAAAAGCATCCTAGCACTGAAGCTGTGAAAGGCTTACTGGAGAATATAGAAGTGCATACACAAGTTTCAGTTACAAGAATGCCTATTTCTCTTGCTTACCACCTCTTACATTTTCCTGTTAGAGCTGCTATTGAACTACAATCAACTCAACATTTTTTTCCCTCCTCTGTTGATGAGGCTATCAGGTAGAAGCCTGAGCCAAACAAGGCAAAACAAAGCATTTAAAACAAGAAAAATGTTCCAATTCTTGTGGAATTTTGAGAGCCAAAGCTCCTCCTGCCAAGAGGCATTTCCCCTCACACTCACTGTCAGAGAGGAAGGCCTACACTAACCTGAAACAGGGAGATAAACAAGAGGAGTTCCTGAGCTATTCAGTTTAAATAGACAATATAATGCCCAAGACATAGGTTGTGTTCAAAGCCCAGAAGACACAAGTTAACGAAATGAGATGGGACCAGGCTGTCTTACCTCATAGGCACAGGCCACAGTGTGTGGGAAATCTGAAGCCAGCACTTTGTTCTTTCTAGAGAGAAGGAAACCAAGAAAATAAAAAAGGTAGAGCAGAGTCAGCTTACCTGGTTGCGATCTCTCTTCCCCATGGATGATAACCAAAAACTGGAAGGAGGCAGAGTCAGAAGAACAGGTGGGAGCAATGCCAAGGAAGGAACGAACAAGGGGAAGGGGAGAAAAGAAGGGTTGGGAGTAAGGAGGGAAGGGGAAGAACAAAAATGGAGGGAGAGAAAGATTAAACATCAGCAGGTCTCATATTAAAATCAACGAGTTTCAGATTCAAGGAAGAAAACTGGATACCAACAGCTGGAGAAGGCTGGACCCACTGCACTACAGTCAAGAGGTGCCATCCTCACGTATCCACTGTCCATCTACAATGGCATTAGAGGGATTCCAAAGGATAGGCACTGTGACTACTTCCAATGCTGACTACAATTTAAATACACTAATTGGGAAAGGAGACAGAACACCAAAGAGAGAGAAAGCAATTTCGCGGCTGCCTTGTCAGCATCATTTCTGCAGTCTGGATATGCATCCACAGCGTGACTCCACACAGAAGCTTTTTAAAAAACTAACATATAGGGTTCAGTCTTCTCATATTGTGCAGAAGACATGCAGTTATTGCAATGGCACATTTTAAGAGAGGGGGAAAGAAAAAGCTGACTGTAATCAAAAGGGCGTTTGAGCAGTGTCCACACACTGGGGCAACCTTATACACATAAGGGAAGTCAGCAGTTGCGAATAAGAAAACAGAGAAGCCATCAGTAGAGGACTGTCTCCCATTCCACAGGTCACTGCATGCTTAAGTTACCACCCAGTTCTTCACTCCCTTCAGTCTCAGGAAGGAAAAGGACCCTATAGTTCTTCGTCCCCTCCCAAAGTTCTACACAACAGCTGTTAAGGGCCTTACTCTTTCTGGCGTGGATCACTAACAATACGACCTAGCCTCTCAGTGCCCAGAGCGCTCATGGAGGTCTCCTGAAACACAAAGACAGGTAAAAGGTTGCAGACTCTCACATAGTGAGCAGACATAATAGTTTGCTGCTGCCAATAAAAACAGATCTCACTCTCCTGGGCCACATCCTTTCCTTCCCAGCCCACTCAGCTAAATATATTCACCCTCTCCTTTTAGAATCTCAACTGAGCTGATTTAACTAATTAGAATGGCAGAAAATCATTCCGTTTTATTTGTGGGACCTGGGTTTTATTATTTTAGTAGTGATACATGCTTGCACAGGGGCACACCAATGACTGGACCAGTACAAATTATGCAGCACAAGGATGCAGTTAAGAACAGGGGAAATGGCCGAGACATGCTTATTTCCAGGTTGCTGTGGCCAGCTGGGCCAGAAACAGGCTGAGACACAGAACATCACACTGTCCCACTAGCAATGGGGAATTACCAAGCACAAGTGAACGAAACAAGGAGTATGCATGAAGCTTTTGACATTTCTGAAAGCAGCAACTCAGCAGCAGTACCTCTAGCTGCTAAAGGAAAGGTATGTCCTAGGAGAAAGGACTTGCTCTGGGAGCATATTTCTCCCTGTGAGACACTGCCCTGTGTATGTGCTTGATGCTGGCATACACATACACACACAGCCTGAAGCACCAACTGTTCATATCTGCATAGCAACTACTTCAAGAAAGAAATATATTTTGCAGTAACGGTCCAAAGATGAGGGTAAAAGGCTTTCACAGCTAAGATATGTTTGTGCCAGGTACATCGGCAAAATGCACTCAAAGTTTGGGGGGAGTTATAGCAGCAGGGGTGAAAGATGGGCTATTTGTTACAGCAGGAAAATTATTAACTTAAAGTGCCGTAATGTTTAAATTTACGGTTTATTACTGTGTAAATTACAAGCCGTACTTTTGGTAATTAGCAGCTCGCTAGCGGGGAGCTCTGAACAAAACTCATTATTTATGATTACAATTTAGAGAGAGATGGGGAAGGGGGAGTAGTGACCTCCGCTGCAAATGACAAAGATCCCTTTAAGGTGATGAAGATGAATTAAACAAGTAAATATTATCCTTCTCATTTGGATCATTACAGGTGCTGCCGACAGGCCCAGCCACTTGCAGGTGGCCTGAGGAACCCTACCCAAAGCCAGTCTCTTGCCAGCTGAGGATTCATATTTTAAATGCTGGTTACACCTAAGCAAGGTGAGTGGAAGAAAGAAGGGGCAAACAAGGGTCTTTCAAGTGTGACTGAACATAAGGAAGAAGTCCCACTCCTCTGGACTCCGGACCCCTCTACTATACCTTGTAACAGACTCTCTAAAGCCAGTCAGCTCAGAATATGTGCTAATATTTTCAAAAGCAGAGTACATCCCAATAAAAGAAAAGCCAAACACAGCCAACACCTTCCTTCTCAGAAACTTCTTTTAAGACAGACACCAGCACTCAATGCTCCAAGATTCAGACACGAGCAGGTGTATCCCTTCTTTTAGACAGGCATCTGCAAAGTATTGCTTATTCCTTTAGAAATAGGACTCTTGCTTTGTTTATTGTTTGCCCTATATATAATAAACATAGTCAATAGCTTTGGGTAACTTGGTATTATTGCATACACCCTTTTATTCTTTCATCTCCCCACTAAAAATGCAACTACTAAAACCACCTTCCTTTGATGCCATTCATATTGGTCTGCTTCCCTATCTAAAATTTGGCCTTCCTTCACCTTTGAGTCACCTCTCTGCCCTTGTAGTCCCAGATTATGAGCATGCACAAGTCTCATGCCATCATCATTTTCCCCTGCATTCTGTCTAAATCTTCTTGATATTTATGCTCCCTGTCATTCATCTTTAGACCTCCTTTCATACTGCTTTTAGCACCGATCAACTGTCTTTGCCTCTCCAAACCTGCCTTAAAATCCACTTAGTCACTCAATCAACTTCCAACAGTCAAATCAGTTAAGCAAATCAAACAATACATGAAACAAAAAATGTACAGGGCCCCTTTCTGCAGAAAACAATTCATGTGATAGCTTAGAACAGTACTTCAGGACTGATCAGCATTGGAAATACAAAATTATTATCTTGCAGAAGGAAATACCTTGCCAACAAGTCTCCTCCGACCTTTTCGGAGACAACGGGCAGCAGCTCCTGGAAGGCGATTCAGACGAGCATGAAATCCTGAAAACCAAACCCAGAAAAACTGAGCAATGAATACAGAAGATTCTTCCTGACAAAACCACCACGAAAAACAGTTAGTTCAGTGGTCAAATCAGATTCTCTGTCTCTCTGTTTCTCAATCTGCAAGAGGCAGATGTGCTGACTTATTCACCAACTTATTTAAAAAAAAAAAAAAAAAATCAAGAATGTGAGCTGCTGGTATGAGTATAATATCCTCTCCAGTAGCACAGCTATTTTTAATTGGATCATGAAAAAAACAGATCACTAATATCAGTTTAAATTGCAGTACTCATGAACAGAATCTATTCTTGTCATCATCTCAAAAGTACTCAAACACATGGCATTCCTTATGGACCTCACCTCTCTGAGCTGGACGTGAGGGCAAAAGGAAGGTGGAATCTGAGAGCTTCTCCAGGCCTGAGTCAATCCGCTCCACTTCAGATCGGTGGTCAGCTCCCCACTTGGGAAGAAGGTTGGGGACAGTGAATCCTGGAACACATTCTCCTTCATAAAACCAATCACTTTGCTCATCATCTCCTAAAGAAATAGGATGAATTTAGCCACAAGTAACGTCAGTGTGCCCTCTGACAGTCCCACAAAATACTACAGGTAAGCATTTCTGTATGTGAAACAGCTGAAGTCTCATTAGGAATTCCTTCATGAAGAGCCTTATATTTGTATTCTGTTTCAATGATCTGCAGTAACTATGGGGCCTCACTAAATGCTTTAAACTATCCAACTCATCAGTCTACAGAATTTCCCTATAGAACAAAGCCCTCTTTATAGACCTGCCTAGGGCAGCTTTAGCACTCTGTTGCGACTGCATCTCATCGACCTTAGTTCAATGTTGTGTGATGTCTTATGCAGAACTCTTTCTCTGAAGTAATTACTGTGACAGAGGTAGAGGCCAATAATTTGGCACATGCTATAGGCTGTCACAGGAGAAACTTCACAACAGGAGACAACCAGGTTCACAGAGTAAGCAAAAGGAGCATACTCACTGATGAGAAAGGTCCCTAGTTTCCTAAGACAGCAGCTAAGAGGAAAACGCACAACTATTAGAAATGGTCACTCTGAGTGTAAGACTTACACCATGGTTACTACCTTCTCAAGCAAAATTTCTTAGAATCTGTCAGAACTACAAACCCTCTGCAAAACTAGAGCAGCAGCAACAGAAGTCATGACCAAAGTACCCATAAAGCAGGGTCACTGTAATTAATGCAGCTGCAGTCTAAAACTCAGCTGCATCAGACACCATTCATGGTAAATCTGCCCAGCCAGAAATCCCCTGAGAGCACTAGCACATGAACAGCATAAGAAAAAAGCAGGAAGAGGGCAAACAACCTGACACACTTAGCTTTTCAGTAGCCCAGCTAACAAACAGTCCCATGTAATTGCAAGGTATTTCACCTTGCCTTAAAAAAAACTAACACACCTGACTTATGGAAAACTCTAATTTGTCTACCATTAAGTCTCAACTCAAGCATCCCTACTTACTTTCCTTTCCTAATCAAGTTACATTATTCCTGACTGAAGTCCATTAAGCCTACCCACACATCTTATGAGACAAAAAAAAAAAAAAAAAAGGAAAAAACCTCACCCTAGTAAGAATGTGGCAATCTTGCATGTAGCAGAAAAAGCAACATCCAAAACCAACTACAGTTAGCAACAAGTAGGACAGCCAGAACGCTTCATCCCAAAGCTCTGACATTGCTTTTTATATCTGTGATATGTCAGTTGACCTAGTATGCTAGGACAAATATATTTTTAAATATACACATCTCTACCCACCTTCTAGTAAATTAAAACTAAGTTATGTTGGATAGGTCTTCTAAGTGATCATAGTTTGTGAAAAAATATCCCTACAGTTTTGGATCTATGAGCATAGTGCACTGTCATATCTCGAATCACTTTCACAAGACAAACTTTAACAATCAGGATCATACGCTAATACCACAGTAACTTTCACTGTGAGAGATCCCAATGCATTTAACAAAAATCAACCTACTTACAATCAAATTTATAAACTAGAACAATTCTCTGCTCACAGAAGTGCACTGATAGCTGGAATTGCAAAGACAACCTATTTAAATAACAATGGCACAAATATTACATGACATAACCTCAAAAGAAGGGGGAAAAGAAGACATATTCAATTTAAGTACACTGGTATCTTAAATTTCCCACTATTCTGTTTGAAATTTTACTAGAAAACTATTTCTAAGATAATGATCTGTGACAAAAAAACAAAAAAGTTTTGTTCTCTCATCTCACTAAACTGGAGAGCTGTTGTTTATTATTTGCTTTATGACTAGAAATTGTCTAAAAACAGGGAAGGGAGAGGTTTCTTATTTAACCTGAAAGTGCAACAACATTTTTAAACACTTTTTAACATAACTGGTGGCCTTCTATGACAGGGTTACAGCATTGGTAGATAAGGGAAGAGCAACTGATGTATTCTACCTGAACTTGTGCAAAGATTTTGACACTGTCACACATGACATCCTTTTCTCTAAATTGAAGAGACGTGGATTTGATGGATGGACCACTCAGTGGATAAGGAATTGGCTGAATGGTTGCACTCAAAGAGTTGCAGTCAATGGCTCGATGTCCAAGTGGAGAGCAGTGACAAGTGGTGTTCCTCAGGGGTCGGTATTGGGACCAGCACTGTTTAACATCTTTGCTGGTGACATGGACAGTGGGATTGAGTGCACCCTCAGCAAGTTTGTTGATGACACCAAGCTGTGTGGTGCTGTTGGCACACTGGAGGGAAGGGATGGCATCTAGAGGGACTGTGACAGGCTGGAGAGGTGGGCCCATGCGAACCTCATGAAGTTCAACAAGGCCAAGTGCAAGGTCCTGCACATGGGTTGGGGCAATCTCAAGCACAAATACAGGCTGGGCAGAGATTGGATTGAGAGCAGTCTTGAGGAGAAGGACTTGCAGGTGTTAGCTGATGAGCAGCTGAGTATGACCTGGCTATGTGAGCCTACAGTCCAGCAAGCCAACCATATCCTGAGATTCCACTTGCAGTGCTGTGTCCAGCCCTAGGGCCTCCAACTTAAGAAGGACATGGACATGCTCGAGTGAGTCCAGAGGAGGGCCATGAAGATGATCAGGGCGCTGGAGCACCTCTCCTGTAAGGACAGGCTGAGAGAATTGGGGTGGTCCAGCCTGGAGAAGAGAAGGCTCCGGAGAGACATTATACCAGCCTTCCAGTACTTAAAGGGGACTACAGGAAAGCTGGAGAGGGACTTTTTGCAAGGGCATGTAGAGATAGGATGAAAGGTAATGGCTTTAAACTGAAAGAGGGTCAGTTTAGCTTGTATCTAAAGAAGCAGTTCTTCACAGTGAGGGTGGTGAGGCACTGGCACAGGTTGCCCAGAGAAGCTGTGGGTGCCCCCTCCCTGGAAGGGTTCAAGGCCAGGTTGGACGGGGCTTTGAGCCACCCGGTCTAGTGGAAGGTGTCCCTGCCCATGGCAGGGGGGTTGGAACTAGATGATCTTTGAAGTGCCTTCCAACCCACACCATTCTATGATTCTACAATTCTATGAACTGTAAGCTAAAACGTCTTGGCCAGAGAGCAATTATAGTATAAACTGTATGAACAGACAGAGGCCTGATGACTAGGATGTCATTTTTTTTCTAGTACCTAGACAGGAAAGGCTGTAATTGGATTTTATTAATTTATTTAAGTAGTATATTCTACATGCTCCTGTATATTGGGTATCCTACTTCTAGTAGCAGCCAAAAGTTAATGTCTAAAACAGAATATAAAACCAGGGCAAGTATATAGGGCAAGCATATAGAAAAGTATATATATACACACTATCCAGTCTACATCAATCTTGCCTCAGGTGATGAAGTAAAAATTCAACACTTCAGTCACCGCCCTGCTTTGCCATCTGATATGCAAGTGCTCACCAATTTCAGCTCCCCCAAAACAGTCATCAGTAAAAAGAGAGGACAATAGATTTGTCTTTTCTGTTGCTTTTGAAGGATGGGAGGCTAGAAACAATTATTTTTCTGCAAAGGTCAAAGCTGATATTTTAAATTTGTACTCTTAGGAAAAGTATTATAGTACAACAGATCGGCCCTACAGCCTAACATACCATCAGAAGACACATATGCATATTTGATGTTATTGCATTGCCTCACATACAGATGCCTGGGTCAGTAACAAGATAGTGGAAGCAGCATTTCCTACTGAGTTACTGATACTACTTCCTTTAGCATTCATATATTCCCAGAAGAGATCTCATCCAAATCTTAGCTTGTGAAATGTGACAGAATCAGAGTGCACACCAGCAGAAGCTGTGTGGAATTACAGGTCTCTGGGGTCACATTCCACTTGCTCCAGATGTAATAGTCCTGAGTGCCTATGTGCCTGCTACAGCCTCTTTCACACTTACTTCTGCCATATCCCCCATAAACTGGACACTGCGCTGTCACTGCTAAATAAAACCATACTACACTCTACACTTAAACCTAAGAAACCATTTCTACAACAGACATTGAAAATACTAGGCTCAAGTCATGCAGAGAAGAGCAAGGGAGGAATGTGTATTTAAAGAAATAAAATCTATCACCTATTACTGTTGTTTTCTCAGCACAGTCTGTTAGGTGACTTGTCAGTACCAAATGATTTTTTTTTTCTACATCATCTCTTCCTGCCCATAGATAAAACTACTAACAAAAATTCATAGAAACAAATCATAAGCTCTGCTTTTTCATTGTGGAGAGCTCTAAAACTCCTCTTGTATTTCTGAGCCTTTCCACAACAACAGCTTCTTACATTTCAAATATTATGGATCCGATATACAAAGTATTTCAGCAGGAAGAGTATACTGTTACCAAAATCACACCTTTGTAGCCCTCAGCTCATTTCTTAACTTCTAGCCCCTCCCAGCCACTGGCCTTTCTCCCATACTTCCTCTTCAAAAATAGATCTTTCATTGTCCTTCTAAAGAAAGTAAGAGAAATTCCCCGGAAACACATGAGGAAAATCACTTGTTACCTTGGCGTCCTTCATCATTGGTAAACAGGCCAGTATCACTGCTGCTGCATACACTGCTGGTTTCACTGGAACAAAAACAAACAAAAAAACCCTTTGTTACAATTGCAGCAGATACAAAACAAAAAACACTTCATTTCATTTTACTAGCTACTCTGAGCCCAAAATGCTTTACATATCTCACAAAAAACTGCATTTCAGATACACGGCTGGCTCTAGCACTAGACATAACTGCTTTCTGTTAAGACCTAGCAATACTGCATCACTTGAGAAAGAGTAGAATCCTGGATCTAGTTGAGTTCTAAGTTATCAAAAAGTAATTAATACAATGGCACTTGCCTCAGGTATTAGAGTTAATAACCTAACTATGACATTGTCTGGAATACTCGCTAGAAAATTAAGTGCAGTTAAAAACTCTATCCTTGGGTCACTTAACATCTACTGAAAACCCTCTGAAGTTTTTTATTTCAGATTCCATCTTCTCAAAAATATACATGGCATGTACATGGCACTCCCTCCCTGCTCCCTTCAATCTACAGCAACTTTTATTTTCTTTGGAGGCAAGAGCAGCTAGTGCATTCACAACTCATCAGCTAAATACCTTAGCACAGCATTACTTGCTGCTGCTGAATGCAGCCTCGTTACAGTATGCTTTGCATTTACTGAAGCAGTTACAGGAGACTTAATTCTTGAACCAAAGAATTAAACTAGAAATTAATGTGTAGAAAGCCACTAATTGACTCTAAAGCTGGATGAATATTTGTAGCAGAAGTACATGCTCAGGTCAGTCCCAAGCGTCTGATGGCTCTGATGCTGATATGAAATCAATCCTTGGACACTTCGGGCAATGCTTTCTCTGATTTAGCCAAGAGATATCAGAACAAGCAGAAACTACCTACTGCCCAACCCCTTAGCACTAGAACTTGAGGTATAACTCAGCACTAAAATCAATCTCCAATCAGGGCATGCTGTTAGAAAGCATCTCTGGGTCCCTCTTTTCCAGGGAAACTGGATCATTCTAGACAGCAGTACCAACTGGAGACCCCTCCATTCAAAGGGCTGAAGGATGAGGGACCACAAGATGCGTCACCTCAAAGAATTGCAAGCACATAATAAAACCCTATATTGTGAACATATTCTTGTTCTTAGAAAACGCATTCTAAAATGTGGCCAAATCAACTCATGATGCTGGGTTATCTACAAACTCCACATCTTCATCATTGTATAAAGGCCATTTAAACTTAAAGGATGAACAGTCTGCACATCATTCCCACATTTCAGTGGATAAATTAGTATCAAATTCCAAATCAATTCATTACAAAATTTGGCCATCCATTCACCCTCCCACATATACACCGTAGCAATTAAGGCCAAGGACTGAGAACTAGGAGTCATTTGTTTCATTCCTAGCTCTCCTACCAAATCACTGTATGACCCTGGGCAAATCTCTTAGCGTGTCTACTTTCCCATTTGAAAGCCTGGATTAACAGTCCTCACAAGCAGCAGATGCGAGGATTGAGTGACTGCTTCATAAGGGCTTTAGCATCCTCAGAGGAAAGGTGCCTGAGAAAGGAAAAAGCATTGTCAAGATTCCAGATCATATTAACAGTACTTTAAGCATCCCATTGTACTGAGAGCTCTTTAGTTCTTTATAGATAGACATTACTGCCAGTGCTTTACTGGAACAAACTCACCCTCTTCACCACCCCTTTTACACTTCAGGGCTGAACAGAAACTAGACTCCTACACAAGCCTTTCTGCAGGTCCAGTAAGCACTGATTAATGACCTCCACTTGCAAAGGAGGCTACTTACCTTAACCATGAAATAATGAATGCTATTGATCCGACAAGCTACTGCTATAGAGTGTTATTGATCACCCAATCTTTGGTTAAAATGGTCCTCATTTAGCAATTTCACTGTCGCAAACACCTGGAGCAAAGCATGCTTATAATTAAATAGTTTGGGGGAGTTAAAGTGAGAGGTGATGGACAGAGATCTCAGGTTTCTCCCATTTATTCTTTTGCCTGAGCTATTGTTTGTGTCAGGAGCGATATTGATTTTCTATAAAAATAAGAAAACAAGAGGCACCGAGGGGCTACAGAAGGTCAGGCTGGGCTGGAGAAGGAGGGGAAGCTGAACACTCTGTCTTTGTCACTTGCCTTCCAAGAGAGAGGAATTTTTTTCTTTACGGAGAGACTGGCCTCCAATTCATCAGCTAAACCAGGCTCTTGACTGCCACTGCAGGCTGTTATCAAAACAGCTCCCTTCCAAAGGGTAAAGCAACTGTACTGCATACTCAGGATGAGCACTGGTTACATTCCCATGCCAGACTACCATACTGGTTTTGGCTGGGATAGAATTAAATTTTCCTCATAGTGGCTCTACAGAGCTATGTTTTGGATTTGTGATAACACACTGTTTCAGTTATTGCTGAATGGTGCTTAAACAGTGCCAAGCCATCCCTGTTTCTCACACTGCCCTGCCAGCAAGTAGACTGGGGGTGCACAAGAAGACAGGACACAGCTGGGACAGCTGACCCCAACTGACCAGAGGGATATCTCACACCATATGACATCATGCTCAGCAGTAAAAGCTAGAGGAAAGAAGACAGAAGGGGGGGACATTCACAGTTATGGTGTTTGTCTTCCCAAGTAACTGTTAAACGGGATGGAGCCCTGCTTTCCTGGAAATGGCCAAACGTCTGCCTGCTGAAATTAATTCTTTAATTTGCTTTGCTTGTGTGCATTGGTTTTACTTTACCTATTAAACTGTATCTCAACCCACGAGTTTTCTCACTTTTACTCTTCTGATTCTCTCCCTCATGCCACTGCAGGGGAGTGAGCGGGTGGCTGCACAGGGCTCAGCTGCCTATCCAGGTTAAACCACAACAAATACATCAGCATCAAGCCTGTGAAGTCACACAGCCTTGGCAGGTCAGTACAATCCCATTTGAAAAAGTTAAGAATTATGGGACTTGAGAGTATATTAGACAAACTGCACATCTCTCACTCGTAAGCACACCATTCCAAGTGATTTTTCAGATGGCTCTTGTATTATGGTTTGTTCTGCCCTCAAGCCAAACCCAGACCATTCTGGGAGTACTTGGCTTTGACCAACATGTGAAGGAACTTGAGAACTCAATATATAATTTGCCTTTGCTTTATTACAGCTGCAGGGAATCTCAAAACATTAAGGGACAGAAGGGCATTTAACTTCTAACAGTCTTAGCAGTTAATTGTCACCTTTGTACAAATAAATGAGTGGCTACTTAAACTAAGACCACTTGCTTCCTCTGTTGTTTCCACAATCACATATAGATCCGACTTTAAGTCATGTCATTACCCAATTTAGAACCATCATCGCTCCCTCTTCATGTTCCTGCACATCCTTCCTTCTCTCAATTTGTGTTCATCTCTTGCCGTGTTTGGCAAACAATTTCAAAGATTTAATTTCACGCACACTTTGAATCACAATACTGCAACACATCTGCCTTCAAAAGACTGTGTGCAGTCCCACAGGCAAACTATGACAACTACTTCCTCAGTAAGTATCCATATCCAAAGCTTTCTCAGTGAATGGGAGTTTATGTACTGAATACAGTAGATTTTTGATCTGACTTAGGACAAAGAGCCTTCGAGAAAGCGGAGAAAATGCTGGATATTTTAGCATTTACAGAGATTTATTCCTATGTAACAAAGAAAAGCAAGTGTTAGTGGAGGGGAGGAAAAAGAAGGTGAAAAGAAGAATTCAGTTCTGAATATACAACTTAGTTTGCCTAAAAACACATTCATTTTGTGACACTCCCCACTGCTAGAGGAGTGAACAGCAGTGGAACCAATTCAGTATGAAAGTGTTTAATAGACCACCAGATCACCACAGACTGCTTCCAAGTCCCAAGCCGTATCAGTCGCTTTCCCTCCCATCAGCTTGTGACAACCACCATACTATTCGCTCTCTTAGGCATCCAATTTTCTTCTCCCTTCCTCAGGATATGGCCTTGTTATACATCTGTACAAAGTGCTTCTCTTATGCTGCCAGAAAAAACAGCTAGAGCACAGCGACAGTGAGGTGAGCACAGCCAGTTTCACTCTGCTGCTAGCAGCAAAGTGCTATATTTAGAGCAGCAGAGACCAAAGCACAATCCTTCACTGCCGTGAGGGACGATCTGCAGTGAAGAGGGTTGTATGTATTTCTCTCTCCAGCTTTGACCCTCTCCAGTGAGTCATAGCACACATCACACATGTGGTGTTGAAGAGGTCAAATATTCCAACCCCTGGCTTTCCAAAGAGAATCTCAAGGATTTGGCAGCAGATGGTAAATGTCATTTGATGCAGACACTTGCACAATAATTAGTTTGAGACCAAGGGACAACTGAGACAGAACAAAACGATCTCCCAGCATGGTCCTCAAGTAACAGTCCAGACAAAGTTGTCTATTTACTATTTCAAAGGCTGGCACAAATAAACACTGGATGAAAGCCTGCTGGTTTAAGTTCAAGAACTGCTGAACTGCAAGAAGCTAGACATCCAGAACACTTAAATGAACCTTAACATATGAACAATTATACTGGATCAAACAATTATACTTTCTAAATCCACTGTCCTCTGTCTGATAGTGCCTATTACAGTGGGTGCTTGAAGAAAGAATATGAAAGCACGATAAATACAGACCAAATGTTTCCTCTGTATATTCCTCCAGCTTCTAGCAGTCAGCAGTCTAAGGACTTCCTGAGCCAGATCTTCCATCTGGGCTGCAATGCTTAACAGCCACTGATAACTATGTTCCACATCCCCCTTTTGGACATATTTAAATTTCTGACCTCCAAAATGTCCCATAGTAGAGTTCCAAACCTTGTGTTTCATGAAAAATAATACTGTTTTTGTTTTAAAAGTTTCCTCAATGTCTCCTACTTCTTACGTAATTATAATCAGAAAATAAACAACCCTATTCACTTTCTGTATGCCATTCACTAAAAATCTCTTCCACTCGAATCTCGGAAGTTGCTTCTTTTCTAACCTGAAAAATCTCTTCGTACAGAGCAGTTTTATAACCCCAAACCTTCTACAGAGAGAATAAAAGTCACACTTCTGGAGAAAACTTCCCAAGAGTGACACAGAAATTCAGCCCATGACATTTACACTTCTTTTTATCTTTTGTATGAGATTCTGCCCCAAATTCATCAAATTTCTCCAAAACAGGACACGAAGATATGCCAGACTCCACTGTTTGCACAGGCTTATCTGGTAAGTAATGTAAGTTTCCTCCAACTTCTTTATCGTCTCGCTACATTTTCCCTTTAGCTAGCCTTTCAGGACTTTATTCCAGATCCAACGCAGAGACGCAGAAGCGCAAATAAGATGTTTTGATTGAGGTGTACGCAGTACCTGCACAGAGGGTTAGTGGTCATGACAGGAGATCTGTTCTAATACTACTTATAGTAAATTCTGAAAACAAGAAACTGAGATCAGTTCACATCAATCATGCAGCACAAGTACCAACAGTGGATTTACCGTCCAGACCTCAGGCCACAAGCATGCCACTTTGCAGCTGCAAGGTCACAGACATTTCAGAGGGCTCCTTGTGTAACAGGAGCCAGAAACATATAAGCTTGCCAGCTTTTCAAGGAAGTGTTTTGGGTCATCAATACAGCATTGACAGGAAAGACTTGGGAAAAATCTACAGTTTAGAAGTAGCTGAGATATTTCTCCTCCTCAGAAACAGAATTGAATAATTTTGATAAGAACTTCTGAAAGCAAGGCACAGGATTTACAGGCAGGTGCAAGCAGAGCAACCATCTCACTAGCACATGGAAGAAACCCGAGATCTCACCATTCTGACATGTTTTCATCTGAGCCCTGTTTCTGTTCATCAGCTTCACACTCCATCCGCTCTTTCCTTCCCCCTTTGCTGAGGAAGGGCCTGTTCTCTCCTGATTCACAACGGCCATGACTGGATGATGTCCATGGGGCATTTTCTTTCCAGCGTGAAAGACGCTGTTTCTTGGCTGACTTGAACCTGCAGCCCCTCTCATAGTTCCATTCCGACACCCTGAGCTTTTGCTGTAGACTTGCAGCCACCTCTGATGTCACACGTTTGACTTTCCGTCGGCGCCTGAGAGGTCGACAGGGTGCGTTCTCTGTAAAGGAGTCTGACTCATGCCAGGAGTGTTGCTTGCTCCTCAGGGTGGCACTGAGAGCTGGGTGTCGTTTGACCACTGCCATGTCATCAGAGTCACTGAAATTGGCTGTCAGCACCTCACGGCAATCCTTGACAGCTTCGTCCAAGCTTGACTCTGAGGCCTCGCTGTAGCAGCAGGCATGCTCTGCCTGATGCGTGAAGTCTGAGCGTCGTTTACGACCCCGTCTCTTGCGAAGCTGACGCCTCTGCTGCCGTGGGCTTAGGGCCATCTCTTCCCATAGCTCATCCAGCTTGTTTTGTTCTGAAGTCTGCTCTAAGGCTGAGGCCAAATCATGCACCAGTTCATCCATTGGCAATGCCTTCTAAAAATGACAACAAACAATTAGCACCAGACATAAAATGCCACTACCAACACATCACTAGACTACGGTTAATGTTACAAAGGCTATAGCATACTAAGTTACACACTTACTTTGGAGTTGTCTGGGAGAACCCAACGCAGGATAACTGCCACTTCTTGGGCTAGAGATCCTTCCTTTTGCAAGGGTTAAAACCCTCTTCTAACCATGGTAGCAGAGATCTCACTACTGTAGCAGCTGGGTCAAGTGCCCTGTGTCTGAAAAGGCCTTAAGGTCGCATCTTTGGCACTGAAGCAACATGATCTATTACACACCTTAAGGGTATGAAAGCCTGCAACTAGTTTGCTACCTGGCGCCAGTAAGCCACAGGGAAGGGTTAGCCTGCTCAGCAAACAGATCTAGTCTTCCAAAAAGTAGACAAGCAGCAAAGCTGAGAATAAGATAGTATAAAGAGATAGTTTGCAAGCCAGGATCACTACAACAGCAAAACAAGGTGTGCAAGACCCTGTGTTCCTTAGAACAGGGTGTGTAAGACCAAGCCCCAACTCCTACTGCCGAAAAATCCCATCTCTTCCATCTCAGGGCTGTCAGCACGCCAATCCCAAAGTCCTGGACAAATCCCTCACCTCACAACCTCCCTCTCCCCACTCGTGCCTTGCAGACGTGGGGCTTCCTCTCCCCACCTCCTGCCAGGCTCAGAAACACCCGCAACCCCCACGCCGGTGAAGCACCTGCTGCCACAGGCCGCCTCCTTTAGTCCGAGCGCCCTCAGAGACTCCCGCCACACCGTCTCCCTCCTCCGAGGAGAAGCCGGTGCTTCCGCCGGACAACTCCTGGCCTCACCACGACGCCCCCGCCGCGGACCCGCCACGTTACGCCAGGCCTCACCCCGACCCCGCTCACCGGCCAGCGCCCCGCTCCGCCAGCCCCTCGTAACCGGCGCTTCCGGCCTCCCCGGGCCACTTCCTCCCCGCCCGCCCCGCCTGCGGGGCGGGTCCGGCGGCGGCGGGCGGGGGGGGGGTGGCCCGGCCGGATCGGCGGCGCAGCGGCCTCAGGGCCGGGCCGACCCGACCCGACCCCCGCCTCGCCCGCCGCCAGTCCCGCCCCTCAGGCCGCGCCGCCGGTTTGCGGAGGTCCCGGGCGCTGCCCCGTCCGATCTGCGCTGTGGCTGGCGCCGCTGTTGGAGCCGTTACAGATCGCTTACCTGCAAACGGGGCAGCCCCTGGCCGTACGCTTACCCTTTAGCTGCTTGCTGGTTATGTTCTATTTTTCTTTTTTAATAGGCAACCAATAAACTCGATACCCGAACTCCTCCATTTCGCTGCTGGCCCGCTAATCGTGTGTATCAGGATGGAAACTGATTATCTCCTAAATTAAACCTCACAGTGTTACTCCCTTCTTAAGGCTTGCACCTCTTTTCCTATCATCCCTCCCATTTTACACATCACTGGCAGCTATCAGAGTAAAGCCAGGTGTGACTCTGTCACTGTCCAGTTTTACTTGGCATTCCCTTTTATTTCTCATCTTTCATCTTGGTTTTCTGTTTGTGGGGTTTTTTAATTTTTGGTATTTCGTTTTTGCTTTGTTTTGTTTTGTTTTATTTTTTAACCCAGGTGGCTGCATTCATATTCAAGCCAAAACTGGTTAATTTTTCAAGAAACCTTTTACTAGGCAGTGTATCAAAGGCTTCGCCAAAGTCCGGATATGCTATGTTCATCTCCTCACTAATTTTGTAAATTCAATCACAGAAAGTAATCAGGTTTGTCTGATGTAATTTGTTCTCTATAAATCTACGCTGCTGTTTATTGCTCATAGATCTCTTATCCTTTGTATTTTTACATTTTTCTCCACCTCTGTTTATTCCATCATGTCACCAGGAACAGAAGTTACTCTGAAAGGATGATAATTGCCAAGATCACTGGCTCGTCCCTGCTCCCCTCCCCAAAAGACTGGTACAGTGCTTGTTTTTCCTCAGTCCTCTGGCACCCTCCCTAGTTTGTCAAGATACTTCAAAAATAACCAAATCCTTAGGTTGCCGTTGATTCCTACACCCCAATAGGACAGTCATCGTTTCGCTTCACTGAGCTTTCTACATGCCGTTTCTCTAACTAGTCCTTTATGTCAGTCTGAGCTGTCATGTTAACATTTTCATTACCTTTTAGTTCTCTGAGAAATTTCCTTGGAAAAGAAATATTAAAAGAAGAAAAACAGTCATTAGGTAGATCATTTTTATCCCATTTCCAATAGCTGACTTCATTTAAGTTACTTTCTGCACACCAATTTGTCTGTAAAATTCTGTCCTTTTGTCTTTTTAACCCTTTCCATGGCTGTAACTCGCCCTACTTGCCTGCAGTATTTTGTTTTCCCTGCCAGTTTCTTATTTCCAATACAGGGGTTTTCTTTTTACTCTCAGATCTGAGAACCAATCCCTCCTAAAATCTAATCCTGTTTTACTGCCACAATCCTTTTTCATGCTTCAGGATATAAAACAGCTACAAAATGTCTGAGTTAGAGAGAAACTCCCCTGATGGGAAGGTTATTCTGTAAACATCCACTTCAGAGCTTCTTACCCCTTCATTTCAAGCATGCGGTACTGGCTGCCATTCCAGGCAGCATAACAAACCAGACAAACAATTGTGTACAAGAAATCCAGTGTTCGGATGTCCTGGGGAGATGGCAGCAGATGCCCACTCTAATTTCTCTTCTCTTCCCTTCATTTTCTTAACTAGTTGTCTGCTGTTACTGTTGGTCAATAAGCTGTTTTGCAACTGTTAGAAATTGAACTTCACCCATCCATTTTTTTTTGCCATTTTCAACATTTCAAACCAAATTTCAACAGATGTTGGCAGCATCTGGCCTGAGTAAAGACAACAGACTGCTGCACAGGGTTGATTTTCTGGGAGAGGGATAGGGCAAAAGCAAAAGACAAGGCAAAGCTGCTTTTTCAATTGCAAGAGTCCCAAGAGCTAAAAGGGTGCAGCAAAGGAGAATTGATGTGTACAGGGAAAAATCAGAAATTTGGCAATAGGAGTTATAGAAATATAACGGGGCAGATGGGGTAATCTGCTTTTGAGCAGTTTATGGTATATCTATGCTGTCTTACAAGGTTCACCCTGACATGGGCCAGTGACCATAACTTTGGAATCCTTGCATGCATTCAACTTCATCCTGTGTCCCTGGCAAATTATTTATTCACTGTGGAGTTTGCAGGTTGCCTGCATGCACAGTAGGAACTGGCCCATCTTTTCAGCATCGCTCACAAAATGCTCTAGGGATATAAAATGTTCAGCACTCTTATCCATCACTGGACTTTGTATATACAGGATTCTTTTTCCTGCCCCGAGGCTATGGTCACCAGTGCCGAACTGTTGCTGGGCCTGGAGGCAGGAGGGGAGATGTTAGTGGTGAGGGACGTTTCTGAGGTGGGCAGGAGAGGAAGCTCAGCTGGATGCTAGCAGCATGTTGCTGCAGCACCTTTGCCCAGCTCCCTCTTGGGCGGGCAGCGGGAGAGGTACAGTCTGGTAGGATGGGGAGAGTAGAGGGGTCATTGCTCTACCCCAGCAAATGCTCTGCCTAGTCCCATGGTGCTTCCCAGAGAAACCTTCCAGGGGTTAAAAGGAAAAAAGAGAGACACAGAAAGGGGACAAGAGACAAAGGGAGGAATAAAGTCAAAAAATGTGCCGTGAAGCTTCTTGCAGCAAAACGCGGAGAAAGTCATTTCCAACTTCTTTCATCTCAGAGATGAAGCCACTAAATAAAAGGGCAGCGCAGAACACAAGGGCTTTTAATCTGTCTCATCTCCTTCATAATAACTGCAAATTTTCCCTGGGCTCCTGGGAGTGAGCCTCTTTCCTCTGTCTTTGCCTTATCTCCCCCCTCCATATTTCACAGCCGGCTCGGCTCCCCTCACTCAGCTGCCCCCGGCCTAGTCTCTGAGAGGCCTGTGGGAGCCGCCAGCTCCCAGGGCCTCATTGTTCCCGGCTTGGGAGGAAGCTCAGGGAGGGAATTGAAGGCAAGTCAAAGGGAAATGGCATCATCGCTGCTTCATTAATGGGAACCTTTCAGCAGAAAACATATCAGAGCGAGGTCTTTTCAGAGGCAGTAATTAGCAATTTGGAGCCTTCCCCCCTCAGGAGATGCAGCTGCGATCTAACAAGTGGGAGCAGTACTCGCCTCCTTTTACGATTCATATTTATTGTTTTTCATTTTCTCCATCTTCCTCCCATTGTCCAGCCTCCTCCTCGCTGCCAGATAAGGGCCCTTTATTAATCGCTCCCTTTTAATTCTTCATTAATGATAATAACTTTCTCTGGCACGCGGAGAGGAGTTAATCTTTCCTGGGTATTGAGAAAGGACAGGGCTGAAAGGGAGGGAGTGAAGAAGCACATGGTGGACAAGGCTATATCGCCACATTTCCCTCTCACCCCACCATCCAGAAGGAGTTTCTGAAGACTTTGTCTGTCAAGCTGTGAGTTGCCCATTGGAAAGTCTCAGGCTGTCAGTTTGGTCAAGCTGTGTGGGTTTGGTAGGATTTACCCTGGCTCAGAGATCCAACCCTTACCAGAAACGGGTATATGTGGGCTGGAGGGAGAGACCTTCTCTCTGCATGTCTTTGCCAAAAATACCCCAGCGTCTTGGTGTGACTAACAGGTTGTATCTACTTGTCTTGTAGGAACACTTCCACAGACACCTTCAGAGCCCAGTTTCCGAACTGCCAACACTGTCCAAGCTTAATCAGCACCTGAATGTGGAAAGAAGTGGTACCTGTGAGACTCTGCACATGACAAGACCCACCCGGTGCCTCCTCCGGGCAGCTGATACGGTCTGTCTTGGGTTGCTCTTATCTGGAGGTGCCAGTCCACCAACATGGATATCTGTATGAGGTGAATGCCACCAGGCTGGCTCAGCACGGGCAGCCCACCAACAAAAGGTGGATGAAAATGGCAGGGAGGGGAGAAGGCTGTCACACAGGCTCTGGCCGTATGTGTGGGACTATAATCAGTGAATACCAGCCCTAAAAACCTGGCTAGGGAGGACAGTGTTGCAATACCCAACATGCTTACAGAGCTTAGCTTCTCTTCCTAGTGTTTTGTACCACTGGCTTCATGGGAACCCCTGTTAGCAAAGGCTATGCAACTGGTCTTGCCTTCTAGTAGTGGCCTCAGCCCTTTCTGGGTAGCTGGGCATGCCACTACCAATTAAGGATGTTTTACTACTAACAAATGTGAAGAAAAAAGGGATGAATGCTACTGTCACTAGGATAGGTAGCTTCACAACCTCACTGAGGACTGTGAGATTGGCAACAATGGGAGGTGCTGAGGGAAGAGAACAAATGGCATGAGGAGAACCTGGGAGCTCCAGCTTATCAGTCAACCACAGAGACACCTCCATGGCCTTCCCCCACACAGTGGTCCCATCCTAGCTTCACACCCTGGTGTCATTCCATGGCTGTTGCCAAAGAAGCCAGCCACAGTTCAAATTAGTGATTCACATGGCCCTGGGAGCATGAGTCACCACATGCTTTCCTGTGACAGGTTACCACAACACCATCAGTATCATCGTGTGCTGATCTGAGGCAGTTGTCCGGCAGTGCTGGGAACTGGGGGGAGAAACCAAGCTGCTGAGGGAGTCAGGTCAGGAGGGGGCAGAGACAGAAATAACCTGAAATTTGGTGTTTTCATTTGCTTCTTCTTTGGCGTAATTTGCAGAACAGATATCCTGTCTGCATTCTTTTACAGACCATGGTAGTAGATATTTTTTTTCTCTACAGTCAATGCTCTTTCTTAGCCTAACATCAGGACTCTTGACAATGGATGTGGGACAGAGAGGGTGAGTTTATTTCTGGGTACTGTTCTACAAGCATCAGCTGGTGTTTCCCTAATATGCTCTGGTTCTCAAGTGTCTTTGAGGGTGAAGTGAAACTCAGGCCTCTGAGTAATATCCTGCCA